GAAGCCAGCTACAGAGAGCCTAATGAGCCATGGGAAGGAATTTGAATTTTATTTCTAAGTATAAAAAAAATTAATAATGGCTTTTAATGAAGGGAATGACATGATTGAAACACTGAAGACACTATGCTAGGGTGGTGGCTCTAAGAAAGGAGCCAAGTCAAAGTAAGGTAGTGGAGAGCTAAGAGCAATAGGGATTTGATAATAGAATATGTATGAGGTTGAGAGGGAGTTGAAGGTGGTTTGAACCTGCTGGGCTTAGAATGAATGTGCCATTTATAGAAATAGGAAGCACTGTCAGGAACAGTATTTTATTGGGGAAGTGGGAAAGATGTTGATTTTAGCTGCTCCAGAACTTTTAGGTAAAAGTGTATGTAGACTAGATCCAGAAATAGAGGTTTGGTGCCTACAAGAGAATATATGGCCAGAAAAAGATTCAGTGTCACCTACATAGAATATATGGGGGAAGAGGGTAGAGACTGGAGGCAGATTCTTTTAAGGAATAACTGTGTTTAGCAGCAGGAAGGAAGCAGTTAAAGAGCATTCTAAGAGTTTGAGAGGAAAGAATGTTACAGAAGTCATGGGAAGATGAAATATTAAGAAGGATGTGGGGGGCAGCAAGAAGGAAGGAAGAATAGAAATTTCACTGCAAAGAAACAGCCTGGGCTAGAGGGATGGGGCAGAGTCTCAATTTGGTGAGTCATTGGTGACCCTCAAAGGAGAGCAGCGGAGAGTAAAATCAGACTGGAGAGAGTAAGTGATCAAGTAGAGGTTTTTTAAGTCAATAACTGCTGTTAAAATCAGTACATAGTATTCATTGTAGAAAATCTGGATGGTTAACAGATCTTTAGGACTCTGCTTTATGCCAGGCATGGGCCAGATGCTGGGATATAAGAAGGAGTGTCATGGTTCTTCATTTCAAGATTATGTAAGGGAGAAAGACATACAATTAGAAATTCACTATTCTCCAGTTTCTTCATATCTTCACTTCCTTCCCTACTTAAGAGTCCATGGTCCATTGTTAAAATAACCCTTGTGAATGTGTCCTCAGCAAACTTGTTTTTCTCTCCCTCCATTTTAGTCACCTTACTATATTCCAACACTTGGCAAATTCAACTCTGTCTATACCCGCCTATACCTGGACAGTCGAATTTGAAGAAAAATACACCATGCTGACTGCTCTTGAAAATGGAAAAGGTGGTGTTCTTGCTACTTGTCATCTACTAGCCCCAATAAGCAGAGACAGGGATTGAATCTTTATGGGTGCTTTATTCAGATGGCTGGTGATCTGAGAAGACGGTGGATTTGTACCCTAAGAAACCATCTTAAACCCCATTTTAAACCAACCCTTTTTATAAGAAGAAAAGTGTAGGTAATGGGTTTGAAATTCAGGGGAAAAGTTAATCAGATAAAAGCTGCAGCATTCTTTTTTCTGTGCTGTGGGTGGTGGGCATCTCTCCCTGGAGCACAATGGCTCAGATACCATCCTGATTGCTTGCAGTCCTCCTGAGGCACAAAGGTGGAACTGCTTGTAGTCTCCTGGAGTCAGGGTGGGTCACACCTTCAGTTTCTGAAACAATAGCTTTTCACATGCATTGATTACTAGGCTTATTAACTGTTACCTGAAACTAAAAATTTTCCAACATTTGAGTCTCCCATCAGTCTCACGTTTAAATTTGTGACTACTAATCTAAGCAGGACTTTAGTATTGCTTAGATGAATTTCTGCATCTCCCCAGTCCATTTGTTTTCCCACTTTCCTAAATGACAATTTCACATATTCTTTTCTCTTCAAATCAACAACACATCTTCCCCTTTTACCTACAGCAGTTGCTGAGAAATGAAAAAGCTGTCCGAAGAGATCTAACTCCCTTACGCTACTATTGCCAAGTCATCAACAGATTTGCACTTGAATGTGAAGGTTGCCTTTCTCTTATTCCAGCGGGAGACTGACTGTTCCTGTTCAGGATCTCCCTCTTGCGACTGGATCCTGACTCTATCTAATTTATTCAAGGACACTGCCTTGGGAATTATCTTGTCTTTTTTTTGGATCAACAGTTTTTGTCTCTCTACTGAGTCATCATTAGCATATAAATATGCTCTACTCTCCCATTTAAGAATAGTAAATAAAGAAAATTCCCTTGACCCTATTTCTCTGTCTAGCTATTTCCCTATTTTTCTGTTCTTATTTACAGCAGTATTATTCAAGATAGTTGTCCAAGGAATTTCTTTTTCCTTTCATTCTTTCATCCATTCCAGTCAGGCTTCCACCTTAGCATTCCACTGAAACCATTTTGTCAAGATCACTTAGTGATCTCTCCTTTGTCCACCCCAAGTCATTTACCCAGTTGACCATTTTCTCTGTTGAAGTGCTTAAAGTTTTTTTTCTTAAAACTCTTAGTTCTCCTATTCATTAATTGCTCTCTCTTGGTTTCCTTTGCTGGTTCTTCTTCATTTCCCTGACCAGCAAACATTGGTGAACCCTAGGGCCTAGACCTTGGACCTCTTCTCTTGTTTAGCTGTGTTTATCTTCAGATAACATCTATAGAGTGACTGTTTTTATATCTCTAGCTCAGACCTTCTTCTGAATTTCAGATTCTTCCAGTAGGCTGCTGGACCAGTCATCTGCTCTTGGATGTTCACTAGACATCTCTTGCCTAACCTAAAGGCAAAATGTTTTTTCCTGTTTAAATATATATTTTTTAAATATAGCCTTCATTTTCAATGAGTGACAGTTCCATTCTTCTAATTGCTTAAGATGAAAACCTTGAAATCATTTTGTCTTTTTCTCTCATACCCATATTTAGGCCATTAGCACATTCTGTCAGCTCTCACTTCAAAATACAGGGTCCAGTAGAAGTAATGCCTGCTTGAGTGTGGTTGGTAGGTTAATAATATGGGTGTAATAATTTATAGTTTTAATTTAAACATGTCATCTAGAATGTCATATGGTATGTGTGAGTCAAATACTGTTATATTACAGAATTGCATGCTTAGATTTTGTAAAAAGAGATTTTTGTAATAAAAAGGGGGTCATTATTTGTGCTGGACCGTGTCTATTCAGAATCCCACCATTTCTCAGTGTCTCCACTGCTATTACTTTGTTCAAGACATCCTCTTCTCTTGCTTAGATTATTCTAATAGTCTGCCTGCTGATCTTTTCACTTCTACCCTTGCCCACTTTGCATGGTCTCTTCTCAACCCAGCAGCTAGTGAGCCTTTTAAAACACAAGATAAATGATACCATTCTGCTTAGAACCCTCTTGTGTCTCCCCATCTCACTCAGTAAAAGCCAAAATCCTTACAATGGCCTATGGATTATTACATGATCTACACTCCTTTTACGTGTCTAACTTCATCTTCTACTACTCTCCCTTTTTCTAATTCAGCCCCAGCATCACTGGCCTCCTTGCTGTTTTTTTAATATGTCGAGCTTGCTTCTACCACAAGGGCTTTGCACTGTTGTTCCTTTCTGCCTGGAAAACTCTCCCTCCAGATATCTGCTGTGCTATCACTTAGTTTAGGACTCTGAACAGAGTGGTTTTCCCTGCTGTTGCATAAATAAAACAGCAGTTCCTTTACTCCCAGAACTGTCTCTTCCCTTTACTCTGTTTAATTTTTTTCCATAGGATTTATTACCATTTGATAGTTTATTTTTATGTTCTATCTTGAGAAATTCTTTATGCTCTTTATAAGCTTAAAGATGGAGGTATGTTCCTTATGCTTCTGAACTGTAAGTTCTATGAAAACATGGATTATGGATGGCTTGTTACTATATCCACCTACAGTCTTATAGTTCCTGGCACATAGTAGATGTTCAATAATTTTTTTGAATGAATGAGTGCCTTTTAACTTTGCTTTAGCAGAGACAGCAGCTTGCATTTATTGTGGGTATATGTGGGGTATACTCACCTATAAGAATTACATATGATTATGTGATCCTTTTAATGTACATTTTATAGGAATAATTTTTCATCTAAATACTTACCTTTGAAGCATTATTTAATTCAAATCAATCCATAAATTCAAACCTGTTGTATTTGAACTTTCATACAGATCCCAGTACCTCATTTATCATGTATAATAGCATGGCATAAATTAGAGACATATTTCCCCCTCATTAGGTCTGCATGCTGCTATAAGAAGGGTTGAATGGGAACTGTGCAGTACTTTGCTAAGATACAGTGATTCAACCTGATTTTGTTTTAGATTATACCTTAAAGGACTTAACAAAACATTGCCATTTTAAGCTTTGGTTATAAATTACCTTTTAAGGCACCATTGGATAGAACTCAATAAACAGAAGTGGTTAAAACTATTCAAGAATCAAATTACACTCATCTAATGTAAATGGCTCTTCCAAAGCTATACTTTGTAAAACAGCTGAATGACTTTGAATCATTTACATACTCCGTGGCCTAAAGAGTAATTTCCAAGAATTATAAGTAAATATAAAAGACAAAATAATGTCAGGTCTAGATAAATTACTCAGTCATAAATCATTCAAGCAGCTTAATTTTGTTTGGTCATTGACAATAAAACTTGGGGTGTTGTTGGTGATTGTGTGACAAATGTTTATCATCCCCCTTCATAAAGAGATAGATGCTTCTGCTTCCCTCTATAGATACACAGCCATGTAGCTCTGGGTCCTAAAGAGGTTGTTTCTGTTCTTCCTTAAAATATATTAATAGAATTTAAGTTAGATAATTCATTCAGAAAATAAACTAAAGATACAATACAGTATTTTTCTTAAGTGATTATATTGACCTTTAGTAAGTAAGATATTTATAGACAAAAGAAATAGTTGTAAAAATAGCATGATATTGTATATACTATTATACACATAATTTTATATATCTTTTTGCCTATTCCAGCCTCAACATAATAAAACATAATAAAACTTGTTTATTATGTGACATCAAACTTTTATATCTTCATATGAAAGTAGTACTTCAGTAGAATGCTGGGGAAAAAAATCTACCCTTGTTTTCTTATTGTTCACAGGAAGGGAGGCAATAATAAGTTAATAAAGATCTATCATCGAGATGGTAAATATGGCTTTTCTGATCCTCTGACATTTAATTCCGTGGTGGAGCTCATTAACCACTATCATCATGAATCTCTTGCTCAGTACAATCCCAAACTTGATGTGAAGCTGATGTACCCAGTGTCCAAATACCAACAGGTATGATTACAAAAGTTCTTGATAGCTATTTAGCAAGTCATTATTTAAGAGCCTCATTTGATTCTAATTCATCAGGCTTATCAGTTAAAAAAATCTACTTAAAAATTTCTATTGAAGATTTAAGAATTTTAGGACTTATTTTGTGGCAACTATTAATAACTTGTTGCATGTATTTATCAAGTATATAAATATACTTTTATTTATGTTTTCTATTTATACTTTATTAATTTTTAAGTTAATAATTTTTGTTGTGATATAAAGACTGATCTTAGTGTTAACAAAAGAATTTAGTGCATTTGCATGCTTGATGTTACTATAGTGACTTAAACTTACAGTAGAAATACAATTAAAAATAAATAGATAAAAAATTTAAAAAATAAGTAAATGTGAAAATTTATGTTAGAATTGTTAATATTCTTTATTTCTTTTGTTTGGCTGCATAGGATCAGTTGGTAAAAGAAGATAATATTGATGCAGTAGGTAAAAAACTACAGGAGTACCACTCTCAGTATCAGGAAAAGAGTAAAGAATATGACAGGCTATATGAAGAATATACCAGAACATCCCAGGTTAGTACAGTTTTGTTATTTAGGTCAGTAAGTATGCAGCATTACAGTTACATCAGATTTTCTTTAATTTGCCTGACATTCTTTAGTTGTCTTAATATCTTAAAGAGTCTTTTTGAGACTTTGATGATATAAATTTCTCTCCCATTCATAAATCACTATTTTATTGGTTGAGGATATATTTTATATCAGTATTAACTAGGATAAGGTTTGACTGCAAGTGACAAAAAATAACAAAAGAACAAAAGCTTCCACTAGACATTTATTTTTCTTTTATGTATAGGTAGTTCAGGCATTTTATGGCAACTCCAAAATCATTAGGGCCGAGGGTTCTTCTGTCTTGATACTTTTCTATCTGTGGATATGGCTTACTCCAATATCAGCCATGACAACTATATTCTAGCAAACAGGAGGGAAGAATAGGAAAGAGAAAGGAATATTTCCTATTTTTAAGGCTACTTGCTAGAAACACAAACTGCTTCCACTTTCCTCCCACTGGATAGACATGTCTACCAGATCATAGCTAAGCTGCAGGGGACGTGGAGGAAGTCTTTTAAAAAAAAAAAAAAAAGATTTTATTTATTTATTTTCAGGGAGAGGAAAAGGAAGGGAGAAAGAGAAGGAGAGAAACATCAATGTGTGGTCGCCCCTCATGTGACCCCTACTGGCAACCTGGCCCACAACCCAGGCATGTGCCCTGACTGGGAATTAAACTGGTGATCTTTTGGTTCACAGCCTGCACTCAATCCACTGAGTTATACCAGCCAGGGCAGAAAGTCTTCTATAACCATGAAAGAATGAGGAAGTTTGTGTTTACTGATTTTGAGTGATTTCTAAGATGTATTAAGTAAAAAATGCAAGCTATAGAAAAATGTATGTAATATCCTTTCATTCATGGTTTTAAAAAAGAGTAGAGGGTGTTACATGTGTACATGTTAAAAAACGTGGTCAGAATGTTTCTGGCCAGAAACTGATATATCCTCTGGGTAAGATCATTAAGACAGTAAGAGTCCAAAAGTAGAAAACTTACCCTTTATATATTCTTTATATATTTGATATATTCTTTCTGTGTGTATGTGTTACCTTCTTAAAATACATAAAACTAACTGAATTAGAATTCAGGAGATTTATTTCCTAATCCTGGCTATGTTAAAAATTGTTTATGTCCATTGAGAGAGTCTGTGTTTAAAGTTCCCATCTTTAAGTTGGAGATAAGGGCAACCCCAACTATATCTGAGTGAGTGTGTGTGGGAGAGAGGCAGAGAATCTGGTTTGAAAGTTCAGTATGATCATCCAAACATGTTTGTTGAATACTTAGGCTATGCATGACACTAATTCCCTAGTTGTAAGACCTCCATTCGATCAGGTTCAGGTGGTTCTGAATGATGGCTGTTCTGTAGTTTAGTTGTAATTTTGATGTGGTTGTGGGAGGAGGCCAGTACCCTATTTACCTGTGCTGCCATCTTGATGGGAAGTCTGGACCTCATTTCTTAAACTCTCTTCTCTCTGTACGCCAGTCACACTAGCCCCCTTGCTGTCCTGTGAATATACTAGACCTGTTTTCTCCCTTTGTGTATTTGTTCTGGCCGTTTCCTTGCCTGAAACACATCCCCTTAACCGCAGATAGACAGTCACCTGGCCAGCCCCCTCAGCTCCTTCAAGTCTTTGCTCAAATGTTGTCATCAAATAAGGCTTACCTGACAACTTTATTTCAAATTGTAACTCATATTCCAAATTTCGTTTCCCACTCTACTTCTTTTCATAATACTTGTTACCTACTAACAAACTGTACTTTATTTACTTACCATGTCTGTTATTTATTGCCTGTATAACCTCTTAAACCATAAGTTCCTAGAAGGTAGAAAAAAAATTTTTAAAGATTTTTTTTTGTTAGCCCTGGCTGGTGTAGCTCAGTGGATTGAGCACGGGCTGCGAACCAGAGCATCGCAGGTTCGATTCCCAGTCAGGGCACATGCCTGGGTTTCAGGCCAGGTCCCTAGTGGGGGCCATGTGAGAGGCAACCACACATTGATGTTTCTCTCTCTCTTTCTCCCTCTTTTCCCCTCTCTAAATAAGTAAAATCTTTTTTAAAAATTTAATTAAAAATATTTTTTAAAACTTATTTTTAGAGAGGTGAAGGGAAGGAAAAAGAAAGGGAGAGAAACATCAATGTATGGTTGCCTCTTGCATACCTCCTACTGGGGGACCTGGCCTGCAAACCAGGTATGTGTCCTAGACTGGAAATCGAACCAGCAACCCTTTGGTTTACAGGCAGGTACTCAGTTCACTGAGCCACACCAGCCAGGGTGAGGGCAGAAATTTTTATCTAAGCTTGTTCACTTATGTATCTCAAACACTTCAAATAGTACCTGGCGTAGAGTTAGTGTTCAATTATTTTTGAATGAATATATGGAAGGTAATGAACTAAAAGCACTCCACCCTTGGCAAGGGCATAGAGTCAGAGTCATGGTATGAAATGGAGTCTAGGGAGGGCTAACCCTCCTGTGGGTAGAGGCTAGAAAAAATGGCCACTGTCGCATGCAGCTTTGGCTTGGTATCGAGCTGTATTTCTGCTCTCGTGACTGGAGAAGGCAGAGAAAACCTCACATGCTGCGAACATGCTTAGTAATACTGGGGATTTCACAGCAGATTATGCGATCTGAGCAGCTGAAATGACACTGTATTCTGGACTTGGAATCCCTGGTTGGAGCATTGGGTGTGGGGGGTAGATGGAGGCAATCAAAAGGCCCCAAGTGGGTCGAATTTAGATGATGGCTAAATTTCTCTATGTGAGATTTCAGAGCAGGGACTGAGCACAGAAGAGCCACGGAGGCTTAAAGCTTTGGGAGGTGGAGAAGGAGAGGGAGGGATCCAGTGATTAGTAGTACAGGAGATATGTGGGGACAGTAAGTGTTAAAGAGAGATTAAAGAATTGACCTCCTCTGTTTATAGACCTCCTGTGTTACAGTGTTTATGAATATCGCAGACCTCCTCTCTATTTCTATGAAATATTAGGTAAAATCTAGATTGCTTTGATGTAAGTGAATTCTTCCCTGATAATGGGAAAGAGATGGTATATAAGTCAGAGTTGGCACAAGGGGTTAAGATGAAAAGATGGCATATGAGGATATTTGACATCTGGATTATATAAAATTAGGAGGAAGAGTGATAGGACTCAATGATGGATTGGGATAAGAGATGGGAATTTGGCAGTGAGATCACTGGTGGTCTTGGAAGGGCCTGTAGAATGGTGAGTACAGAAACCAGAATAGGGTGAGTTGGAGTGTGAATGAGAGATGAGGAAAGAGAGCCATATAAACACCTTTTTCAAGAAGCTTAACTGTGACTGGGAGAGAATTTAGGGTTTGGGAATTTTTTTCAGAGTGGTGTAACTAGAACTTGTTTGTATGTTGATGAGAAGGAACCATTAGACTGGGAGAGTTAATGATGTCAGAGGGGCTGGCTGATGTGATGGATGAAGTACTTGAGAAAGGAAGCAGAGGTGTTATCCAGAACACAAGTAAAATAAGGAGAAGGAAGAAAAGGGGATGGATAGGTTTATAGTTTTGGTGGTAGGCATAGTGGCATTGTTTATGGGGAAGCTGCTGCTTTGGCAGTGATACGAAAAACCTTTCTGTTTGCTGCCCCACCAACACCTATACCAGTGTTAGTAAACTCTAGTTAATGGTGTTTTCTTTGAACATACAGGACCAGTGCTTTGTAGGTAATTTTTTAATCTTACAAGGGAGTCAAGACCCTTCACTGTAATTTCCAAATTGTAGAATTTATAGCTAAATATGTAGATATGGGCATTTCAGTATGTTTACTGTATTTTTTGAGATAGGTATGATATAACCCCAACAATATGGAACATCATAAATGTTTGAGCTTCCCTTATCAGCCAATCCCCTTATGTTCCAACCCTACTGAACAATTGCTTATTCCTGAACATACCCTATTATTTCATGTCCATGCCATGCGATGCCTCTATATACAATGCTGAATTTTCCCCACCCCAATTCTTTAAGACCTAGCACACATACTGCCTTCTCCATGAAGCCTCTGTAAAGCTAATTCACCCCACTTGATTTCCTCTACCATGACATAAAACAAAACCTATTAAATATTAAAGTTTAGAAATCTATTTCACCTGTATATTACAAATCCTCTTCTTTATCACCACTTAGTACTTTCTGTATAGTGGGTTTTCAATAATCATTTGTTGAGATTAATAAACACCGGATACTTGAGGAACTATCTAATAAGCACCAAACTTTAAAAATTGTAAACATCCAGGATAGTAATGCTAAAGTCTACAGAAGCCCTCAGAGCTCATTGAAATGTATGGGACTACCTACCTTACTGCTGAAAGGCTTAGTCTGTTGGGCTTTGTTCTATGAAGTTTGTAGTTTTTCATCTTACTCCACATCTGATTTTAGCAGCTATTCTTCTCCTTTTCATTTTCTGCTTTTAATCAGATTAATCTGATGATGAATCTATTTGGAAAACTACATGCTTTAGAAATGAAAGTAAGAATAATTAGACTTTATAGGGTTCTTCTGGGAATAAGGCTTTGCATGTTGGTGTATGGACTCCTGATTTGTTCACTCACTCCTTCAGCATCTTCTGGGGGTCAGCAGTACAATAGGTGCAAAGGCAGAACTTCATCCTTGTCTTCAAGCTGTTTAGGGTTAATCCCTCTTAGCAGCACAGAGGCAGTGGTTCTCAGCTATACTTCAGCTAATAGCTCTTTTATTTTAGAGTTTGAATGATGCATTTTGCATATAAGTAATAAGAGTAGGAATTAAATAAAGGGTCTTGTTTTCAGCCCAGCGGTTTTCAACCAGTGTACCACATGAATTTTTACATATTTATTTTTTAATCCTCACTTGAGGATGTTTATTGATTTTAGAGAGAGAGGATATGTTTACTGATTTTATTGATTTGAGAGAGAGAGAGAAGGAGATATTGATTGGTTGCCTCCCATACATTCCCTGGCTGGACATTGAATCTGCAACCTAGGTAGGTGTTCTGATAGGGAATCTAACTTGCAACCTTTTGGTGCATAGGGAACGATGTTCCAACCAACTGAGCCACCTGGCTGGACTACGAGAATTTTAAAAACATGTACTACCTGACTATTTAGTCAAGGGCACTGACCTCTTTTCTCTTAGATGGTCAAATAAAAAAAATGACAGCCGTGGCTGGTGTGGCTCAGTGGATTGAGTGCCGGCCTGTGAACCAAAGGGTCACCCACTCAATTCCCAGTCAGGGCACATGCCTGGGTTGCGGGCCAGGTCCCCAGTTGAGGGTGTGTGAGAGGCAACCACACATTGATACTTCTCTTCATTTCTTTTTCCTTCCCTTCCCCTCTCTCTCTAAAAAATAAATAAATAAAATCTTTTAAAAAATGGTAACAGCAAATACAATAATAGCTGTCCAGTGTGACTGAATCAAAATTATACCTATTTTTTGGTGTGCCACAGAATTTTAGTAATTTATGTGTGCCATGAGATGAAAAAAGTTGAAAATTGCTGTTTTAAACTTCTAAATTGTCTTACATGGAATAGTAACAAAATTATAAAACAAAGAAATGAAGTGTATGTCGTTCCTTTTTCTCTCTTATAGGAAATACAGATGAAGCGGACTGCAATTGAAGCTTTTAATGAAACAATTAAAATATTTGAGGAGCAGTGTCACACACAGGAACAGTATCGCAAAGAATACATTGAGCGATTTCGTAGAGAGGGGAATGAAAAGGAAATTGAACGGTAAATCCACCCAATACCTCCAAGAACATCAGTGAGACAAGACGTCCTTTCTTCCCCAGTAATCTCTGCTTTAACTCCTCAAACTTCACAGTCCTTCCATATGGAAATACTTGCTGTTCCCACCAGTGGCACCAAACTGTACCTCCTCTCTTCTGCATTCTTTCTCCATTCTCCTAAATGTTAACTCCTGCTCACCTTGTAGAACTCAGCTTAGACATGACTTTCTCTAGAAAATCCTCCGACTCCCTCAACTGATACGGGGGCTTTTTGTCTCTACCCCTGCAGTACCTGGTCCTGATCTCTAATGTAACGTTTACTGAATGCCCCTCTCTTAGCTGCAGGCTTGTTGAAAGTAAAGATGTTGTCTTATTTTTGCTGATAGTTATAGCACCTGTTATGGTTCTGGAGAGTGCATAGTGGTACTCATTGAATATTTGTTGAACTGAAAATCAACAGCAGGAGTCCCAGAATAAACTGGAGGTGGAACAAGACCGTGGGCAGGAATGGCAGCCTGCCTATCACAGGCAACTGTAGTCTTTGTGATCATCAGGTTAAAAGATGGTGAGGGCCTGAACCAGAGCAGGAAAGGAGGTGGAGTTAATGGAAGTGCTGAGGACTTGAGGCCTGAGCAGCAATGATAGCTGTAGGATAAGTCAAAGATCATTTCTATTGACTAAGGGATATGAGTCACTAAGGGGTGGTCTTATCCACCTAAATAGAGTATGTAAGGCAAGTTTAGAGTTGGAACCAATGGGTTTGAGCTTCCTGTGAGAACCCAAATGGAGTTGCTGAAAGTCTATTGGATTTGGAATTCAGTACAGAAAAGATTTGGGAGGCATAAGTGTGTAGGTGATGACAGATGCTAAAAATAAGATTACACGGAGCAAATGAGCAGCATGAGAAGTATTGGTTCGGGCAACCAAAAGGGTATTGTAAGAGCAAATTTAGTGGAATAGTGGAAGACTGAGCCAGATAACAGTGGGTTGAGGAATGAAGAAGTGGATAACAAATAAAAATGAATCCTATGCAAGGGAAAAGCAAAATTATTTCTCATGTTAGCACTGAAGTGTCAGTGAACTTCTGTGTGCTAAAAAATAGGGCTTAGTGCTGTGAGGCAGTATAGCTTAATGGTTGAAACCAGGGGCTTGAATTCTGTGTTGAATATTTACTAGCTGTGCGACCTTGGTTGAGTTACTTAACTCTTCGAGCCTGTTTTCTGCTCTGTAAGCTGTGGATAATACCTTGTTGAAATGCTTTGAGAATTAAGGGATACACACATACATATTCATGATACAGAAGGGCATGTGTGTGAGTGTATCTTGGCATATGGTATCAATAAATGACAATTATTAATAATGAAGAAATAGAAAAGAACTTGTAGTTTAGTTGCAAAGGGAGGTAAAGTAACATGATGATGTTTTAATTGTAATGTAAAACCACATACTGAATGACAAATGAGTGGTGTGGACAATTGTTGCCTTAAGGATTCAGAGCACAGCAAAACTTTGTGTGCTAGGAAGCTTATAGCCATTATGTACTGACTACTTACTAAGATGTGTCAGGCATTGTTTAGTCCTTTACATGTATTACCACACCACATTTAATGTACACAGTAACCCAGTGAAGTAGGTACTGTTTAAGTACCTGTTTTAAACGGAAGAGGAAATGAAAGCACAGAGAAGTTAAATAACTTGCCCATAGCCACACAGTAAGTAGCAGGCCAGAGATTTAAACTTAGGCAAGCTGACTGCAAAGCCATTGCTTTTAACTGCTATATTATGTTATCTTTTGATATCATACATACAGCTTCACTTTTTCAGTCATGACTTGATTCGAAGCCTAAACAAGGTCATCAGGATTCTCTTTTATACTCTTGTCTTTTGGTTCCATTTTCCTCTGTGTTGGCTTTATCCTCAGGCAGGCTTCTCTATGAGATGGCAGAATAGCAGCCAGGAGTCTTAGAATCACGTACATATTCATAATTTAGCAATCCCAGTGGAAAGATCTCTGTTTATTATAGTTCTAGCAATAGCCTGGAATTGACTCTCATTAGTCAGTTGGGGTCTTATTGCTGTTCCTGAACCAGCAGTCACTGTAGCCTGAGGGTATGGATAGGATGGAATGGAATACTTATTTCCTTTTTATTGAATTTATTGGGGTGACACTGGTTAACAAAATTATACAGGTTTTAGGCACACAGTTCTATAATACATCATGTGTACGTGTATTGTGTGTTCACCACCCCAAGTTGGAATGGAATACTTTCATTGTCCAGGCTGGGTTGTGTGGCTCTTCACCCCTGAATCTGAGATGGGTCAAGGAACCCATCAGGCACCATCAGGGGGCTATTATAAGTAGAGTGGGTATGGATGTGGGCCAGGTAAAAACAGTAGATGTTGACCGCACTTAAAATATTAGGGTTGTGCTCACTCTATAGAATGTCTCTGTTTGGTTCCTGTTTTACCTTTAACATATCAAATATTTTCACAGAATTATGATGAATTACGACAAATTGAAATCACGGCTGGGAGAGATTCATGATAGCAAAATGCGTCTAGAGCAGGATTTGAAGAAACAAGCTTTGGACAACCGGGAAATAGATAAAAAAATGAACAGTATCAAACCTGACTTGATCCAGCTACGCAAGATCCGCGATCAACACCTTGTGTAAGTAGTGCCGCCTTGTATGGGAGGGAACCACCAGCACCAGGTTACTATTAGCACTAGAAACTTTAGAGGTAGAAGAACAGATCTGTAATTGAGAACTAGACAGTGAAGTTGTAAGACTGTAGAGAAGCATTCTTGTTAGTAGTAGGGGTACCAGCGTTCACCTAAAATCAATGTGTGGGAGCAAAGTAGGACTCTAAGCCATACAAATAAATGCCTTGGAAGTCTTGGGGTGGCTGTGGCATGAATAGAATGATGTAGCTTAAAAAATAGAGAGTAACATTTGCCTAAAACACAAAAACCAGAATCTTTGGTAATATAGAAATAGAAATTATTCCTCAGGGGAATAGGCAAAGACACTAGTACTACAGGCTTATAGATAAGTATACAGAATAATCTACTGAAGGGATTTTATTTTTAAGAAGTGCAATTCTATATTTAAGTAACAGAAATGTGTCAGTAGCAGACATGAAAGATAATTTTATCTGAGAAGTGGAATCCAACTTTTTAATATTATGGAAAACTATATGATTTAGCTAGATACAGGGATATTATTCAAATATATAGATTGAAAGATATACCGTGTTTTGCCATGTATAATGTGCACTTTTTTGCCCACATTTTTGGAGGGAAAAATAAGAGTGTGCATTATACGTGGGTAGTACTAATTCTGTATCTATATAAATGTTTTTAATTATTTCATTTATGCTTATGCATTAAAAGTGTAACTATAGAAAGCAATAATGATACCCATGTGCAAAATAATACCCTGGAATATGATAATCAGTTTTGTTTCTAAAAATAAATAAATAAATAAATAAATAATTGAATTAAAAAATTAAAACAAGCCCTGGCTGGTATGACTTAGTGGATTGAGGGCCAGCCTGCGAACTAGGCAGTCACTGGTTCGGTTCCCAGTCAGGGCACATGTCTGGGTTGCAGGCCAGGTCCCCAGTTGGTGCACTAGAGGCAATCACACACTGATGTTTCTCTCCCCCTCTCCCTCCCTTCCCCTCTCTAATAAATAAATACATAAATTAATAAATTAATAAAAGACTTTTTTCCTGAAAGTTTGGGCCAAAAAGGCATTATACATGGCAAAATACGGTATTGAACAAATTATGTGGAGTATGTTTTTAAGACAAATGACTGTTTGAAAGGGAAAAATCTAAGAGAAAGCAAAATATATTAGGTTTAATTCTAGGTAAGGAATAGATTGTTACAAAATATGTTTATGGGTCTCAGGCACATAAAACAATTCAGCTCAAACTCCTGGCAGGAGAAGATGGAGTAAAGACCTCTGTGTTTTCCATAGACATCAGGCTTTCTTTGTGTGAGAAAGGGAGAAGGAATAAAACACAAGCTTAGAAGTTGGAACAGTGGCTGTTGAGTTTCAGTAGAGGATAATTTAAGGTGATTATTTTGGGGCCAATTACAACTACATTATGCCAGGTGGTTTTTAGTGCACTCTTGTCTAGAGATCATTTCCATTTGCTAATATGGCACCAAAAAAAGTTAAGCAAGTACATATAGCATCCGGAAGAGCTTTGGAAACAAGGCAAGGAGATGCCCTTGTCTAAAATCAGGGTGTGTGTGCTCTTGGAATACTCACATGGTTCTGGTCACATAATGAAGCTGAAGAAATGCCCAAGAAGTCTTTGCCATGGACCAAAGGATTGAATAGAAGCACTTCTTTGCTCTGGAAAGCAATGATATTTAGAAATAAACCATCCCAAAGAGTGTGAGTAAGTGTGGCAAACTAGAACTTAAAAAGTTTCTTTAATGAGTTAAATAAGTTAAATATAAAAGTTTTGATAACGTCATGGATGATAAGTCATGACCTACTAGTAAAGACAATTAGGAGGTTTAGGGAGACGCAGACAAGTCCTACCTCTTCTGGAAGGGTTGTTTCAGGGAGGATAGTGCAGTTTCTAACAAAGACAATACTAGGCTTGGTGGACTGGATCTGTTCCAGTGCTGGGATTGTCCAGTCAGTCCTGAAGGAGACTGGTTGTAAAATGTGTGCTGCACACTGAGTATGATCTCTCGTTGGTTCTGTTTTGAAGTTGGAGTAGGTTGGAATTCTGCAGTACCTAATTACAGATTGTCATTAGTTCATCAAGCCCCCTTTGGGTGTGGCCTTTTTCCTGACTTCCCACTGCATAACCTACAAGGATTCTGTGAGATTCTCTGCTAGCATCCCAGTGTACTGTTCCTAGGATATTCTTGAGAGCTTAAATATAGAACCTCTTTCTTAAACATAGAATAAAATTTTCTTAAATATAAAATCCTTTAAAATTTCCTTTCCAAAAAAGGAATTTGGTTGTTCATGTGCAGTTCTTTTTATCAGGAGCTAGTTTTTATGATTACCATTTACTTTCCTTCATATTTATAAACCTATATTCATAAATTTAAAATAAAGAATAACTTACCATAATAATACAGGTGTATTAGTGATGAGTTTTGAGTAAAATGTACTAGAGGGGTTTGCAGCTAAAGAGGTTCTGTGGAGGATGGTGTGTTCTCTTATTTATTTTTTTGTGTAACAAAATTTTATTAAGCCTTGACTGGTGTGGCTCAGTTGGTTGGGTGTCATCCCGAAAAGTGAAGGGTCACTAGTTCAATTCCCAGTCAGGGGATATGCTTGGGTTGCAGGTTTGGTTGGGGCACGTACAAGAGGCAACCAATTGGTGTTTCTCTTTCACATCAATGTTTCTCTCCCTCTTTTTCTCTCTCCCCCCTCTAAAAATAGAGAAATAAAATCTTTTAAAAGTTTTATAGTGATTAGTTTATATCCCATACAATTTACCCATTTTGAAGTGTATAATGCAATATTTTTATTATATTCACAGGTATTTGCAACCATCATCACAGTCAATTTAAGAACATGTTCATTAATCTGAACAGAAACCATGTACCCTTAACCTAGAATCCCCTATCACCTTGTTCCCTTCAGCCCTAAACAGCCACTAATCTATTTTCTGTCTCTGTTGCCTATTCTGAACATTCACATAAATGAAATCATGTAATATGTAATCTTTTGGGAGCAGCTTCTTTCACTCGGCATGAAGTTTTTTACTCATCCATGTGCTACATGTATCATATTCCATTGTGTGGATCTACCACATTTTATTTAACTATTTACTCATCAATTGATGGACATTTGGTTTGTTTCTAACTTGGGCTGTTACGAATAAAGCTGCTCTGATCATTTGCGTACAGGTTTTGTATGGATGTACGTTTTCAGTTCTTCTGAGCACATGCTGAGGAGTAAGACAGCTGGGTCACATTGTAACTCTGTGTTTAATTGGGGCACTGCCAGGCTTTTCCCAAGTGGCCACATTGGTTTGCATTTCCACCAGTGATGGTCTGGGTTTTTTGTTTTTTTTTAAGTAATGACTCACTCCTTAATTTAGCTCATAAGTTAAAAATTTTTAAACTGATTTTTCATTTCAAGATGTCTTATATTTTATTTCATTATTATATAGGGAGTATGAAGTTCTGTTTATAAAATTTAGCATAAGACAAATTGTATTCCTCTTTTTCTTTATTTTTTAAAATATATTGAATTGATTATGCTATTATAGTTGTCCCGTTTTTTCCTCTCTTTGCTTCCCCAATTCCTTCCAGCAGTCCCCAACTTAGTTCATCTCCATGGGTCATGCATATAAATTCTTTGGCTACTTCATTTCCTGTACTGTTCTTAACATCCCCCTTCTATTCTGTAACTACCAATTTGTACTTCTTAATCCCTGCACCATTTCCCCATGCTTCTCCCCATTCTCCCTCCCTACTGATAACCCTCCAAATGATCTCCATTATCTATGGTTCTGTTTCTGTTCTGCTTGTTTGTTTCATTTGTTTTTTAGATTCAGTTGTGGATAGTTGTGTATTTATTGCCATTTTCATGTTCATAGCTTTGATCTTCTTTTTCTTAAGTAAGTCCCTTTAACTTTTCATATAATAATGGTTTGGTGATGATGAACTCCTTTAACTTTAGCTTGTCTGGGAAGCACTTTATCTGCCCTTCCATTCTAAATGATAGCTTTGCTGGATAGAGTAAACTAGGTTGTAGTTCTTGCTTTTCATTACTTTGAATACTTTTTGCCAGTTCCTTCTGACCTGCGAAGTTTCTTTTGAGAAATCAGCTGACAGTCTTACAGGAACTCCTTTGTAGGTAACTCTCTGCTTTTTTCTTGCTGCTTCTAAGATCATCTTTTTATTTTTAACTGTGGCATATTAATTATTATGTGTCTTAATGTGGTCCTCTTTTTGCATCCATCTTGTTTGGGGCAATGTGCTTCCTGGACTTGTATGTCTATTTCCTTCACCAAATTAGGGACATTTCCTTTCATTATTTTTTTCAAATAAGTTTTCAGGGTTTTTTTTTAAAGATTTTATTTATTTATTTTTAGACAGAGGGGAAGGGTGGGAGAAAGAGAGGGAGAGAAACATCAGTGTGTTATTGCCATTTGTGCACCCCCTACTGGAGACCTGGCCTGCAACCCAGGCATGTGCCCTGATTGGGAATTGAACCAGTGACACTTTGGTTCCCATGCTGGTGCTGAATCCACTGAGCCACACCAGCCAGGGCAGTTTTCAATTTCTTGCTCTTCCTCTCCTTCTGGCATCCCTATTATTTGGATGTTCATATGTTTAAAGATGCCCCAGAGGTTCCTAAGCCTATCCTTGTTTTTTTTTTTTCTTTAATTTTTTTTTCTTCTTACTGTTCTGATTGAATGTTTTCTTCTTTATGTTCCAAATCATTGATTTGATTCTTGGCTTCATCCATTCCACTGTTGATTCCCTGTAAAATTTTCTTTATTTCATTTAGCGTAACCTTCATTTCTGCCTGGGTCTTTTTTTATGTTGTTGAAGTTCCCAATGAATTTCTTGGGCACCCTAACAATGAGTGTTTTGAACTCTGCATCTGATAATTGCTTATCTCCATTTTGTTTAGTTCTTTTTTTGGAGTTTTGGTGTGTTCTTTCATTTGGGCCATGTTTCTTTTTCTCCTCATTTTAGCAGCCTCCATGTGTTTGTTTCTATGTATTAGATAGAGCTGCTTTGACTTCCTGTCTTAGTAGCGTGGCCTATTGTAGAAAAGTGTATCTGTAAATTGGATGAAGTGGAGCCTTAGGTAATCGCCAGAGTGGGCCAACCTGTGTGAACCAGGCTGATGGAGTCACAGGTATGGTGTTGCCGCTTTGTGGCTCTGTGTGGGGGAGGGCTCTGCAAAGGGACAGTGGCCACTGCCTGGCCTCTGGAGTTTTGTCTGGGGAAAAAGCTGTTCTATGCACTCACCCTGATGCCAGATACTTCAGTTTCTCTGTATGCCAGTTCAAGCTCCTGCTACATCCTGGAGACCAGATGGAGTGAGTTGGCATGAGTCCTAAGTCCTTTAAGAGGAGACATGTGAGAATCCTGCAGTTTCTTATGCCGCTACCACCCCTCCCCACCTGCCACTGGTTTTTACAGCCAGAAGTTATTGGGACTTATCTTCCTGGTACTGGAATCCTGGGCTGGGTGGTCTGGTGTGGGGCTGGGATCCCTTGCTCCTGAGGTATCCCTTATGATTTTTATGCCTGTTCCACATCTCTGCCGCTCCTACCCATCTGGATGAATGTGACTTGTTAAATCCTTGGTTATCAGATTTCCATGCAGCTTGATTTTCTCATGATTCTAGGTGATAGTTGTTTTGTAGTTTACTTGTAATTTTTGCTGTGGTTGTGTGAGGAGGTGAGCTGCGTTTACTTATGCCTCCATCTTGACCCAAAGTTGGGAAAGGATCTCTTTTTCTTTAAATTAAAATTAATATATTTCAAGTTCCTACCTGCTTTGCTATATGAAAAGTTCTTTATCTCAGTTACGATTAGGACTCTTCCTACCTCCTACATATATACACACATTTGGATCATTTAAGAAAGCCATTAGAATTACTGCCAGGAAACTGTTGGAACAAAAGGCCCTTGTCCCCCATCGCTGCCATCACCGGGTGTTTCCTCTGCCCCTAACCACTGGGTCCTGCCATCTGGTTAAATACTGCTGTTCCAGAAAATTCAGAGGTGCTCTTCACGGTGATCACCTTATTGGCACTAACAGGGTCTGCATCTTAAAACCTTGTCCTCCACCCAAGGGGCCTTGTACGTGGGGCACCCTGTTCTGTTATCTCATCTCAAAAGTAGCCAGGCTCTAGGGAAGCACAAATTCTCCTCCAGGACTTCCTCTCTCAGGGACTGCCTAGTTTAATCCTCTTCCTTGGACTAAAACACAAGTTCTGTTTCTCTTAGAGGGTGGTAGTTGGGTTGCAAGGCTAATTAGACTTTTAGAAAAGATTTCATATACATATTATTTTTTCCCTACTTGCTGGGTTGGGGACTGGGTACGGATATGCTAAGACCAGCTATTTTTTTCTCTCTTGTTTTTCTTAACTTCCATGTAAGCTATGGGAGTAGTATTTTTCCTGTATTTTTTAAAAAGAGAATACTGAGGCATAAATAGAGCCTGAACAAAACCGCACAATTAGTAACAGAATGAGAACTGGATGTTAGGTCTTTTGATTATTAGACTTCAGGTTTTTCTTCTAGAATATACTGTCTTTATGAGTGATCTAGGCATTACTCAATAACAAGATAAACATGAGTCAATATACTAAAGTTACTTGAACTTTTGCAAATTATTTTTAAAAGCTAGTTATTTCCTGACATTGCTAATAGATGTTGAATGACTCAAAACTATATATTAGTATTTGAAATGGACTTTTGATAGATTAGAAAAGTTCCATATATGAACAGGCAGGAAACCATCGTAGATGAAAGGTGGGCCCAAAACACTCTTCTCTTTCTCTTGTATTTCCTGGGTGTCCTAACATTCGTCGTGGTAGAAAGGGAAGCTCAGTTTAAGAGGCTGGTGGTTACAGAAAATGAGAACTCAAGAGAAAACGTAGTGTGGTTTGTTCACATGAAGTCTTTTACTCAGTGTGCTTGTCTCTTTGATAAAGGAAAGATCAGTTTTTTAAGGATAGAAAAGTTTGAGTAAGGGTGTTTAGAGGAAGTTATCTGGATATTTTGCTAATAGAAGTAGTGGTGAAGGAAGGGGTTTGTTACTAAATAAATTCTATCATGATCATGTTAGTTGTTTTCTAGCTTCACTGATTGTGTAAAATGAAAACCATGTTAACTGAATGACACGTATTATTGAGAAAGGTTATGAAATCTGTTTAAATAACTTAGAAATTAGGTGTGATACCAAGTTATCTAGTATATTTGGAGTCAGAGAGAGATACAAGATGACCTTGGAGTTGACCATGAAGATTTATTAAAAACAGCCCACCAGCAAATACTTATTGACTATTTATTGAATATCTACTATGCACTGGCACTCTTTTTGGCATTGGGATTAGCCAAGAGCAGGACAGACCCCTCCTTTACAGTAGCTTACATTTTAGTGGAGGAGACAAACATTAACAAGTGAAAATACAAAACAATTCCAAGCAAGTGCTGTGAAGATGATCAAGTACAGCAAAGTGTGGAGAGTGACTAGGGGCTGCCTTAGTTGGGACGGTGAGGGTAGTCATCCCTGAGGAGATGACGTCTATATGAGACCTGAATGATCAGGAGCCTGGTTGGGGGATGGCAATGAAAGAGTTTATATTCCACTCAAGTTTTAGACCATCAGCCATCTCAATGGTTTATATCATTTTACATCTAAAATGTTGCTGCATTTTAAAGTACTAATATTTGCCTATTGATGAAGTAAATTTGTATTAATTACTCAGATTGCCACCCTAAATTTCTTACGACTTGCTTAGGTGTAAAAATAGACCTTGAAATTCTGTTTTAGAATTTTAAACTCAATGTGGTAGACCACTCAGGAATTGAATCCACAAATGCATGACACCATACTCACCTAACTGATCACTTCAGCAACACATGTCCCTCTGTGTTTGAGTGTCAGTGTGTGTGTGCTTGTGGTAAAACCTAGAAAAGGAAAATGAAAAATAAGAGAAATGCCTCATTTCAAGTAGCTCTTGAAATGAGGAAAAGTAATGGAGAAATGAGTTTAGGGAAATCTCTGGCCACTATCAGTGGGACTGGGGAAAATAAGATGTCCCTGGACTCTGGAAGTTTGGTTAGCTTGGACATATATACTTTGTCCAGGCAGAGTTTGCACAGATACTGACACTGGTGTCATCCCTCTGGCAGATGGCTCAATCACAAAGGAGTGAGACAAAAGCGCCTGAATGCCTGGCTGGGGATCAAGAATGAGGATGCTGATGAGTAAGTTCCCTCTGTACCTCTCTGTTGGGGCTTTTTTCCAGGGTAAGACATGGGCCTTCTTTATACATGTTAAATGTTGGTCCTCATTGACATTTGAGGATATTGAATCAAGAACTTCGCACCTCTTTTGAATTGAATTGCCCTATAAGCACTTGAGTTCAGAGACCTTCTGACCCATCATGAAACAAAAGCATTGATCATTCAGACATCCATGCGTCAGATGTTGGATGAGACATGTGAATTCTGTGCTTTCTGTACCATAGCAAGTAATGGTGTTGTTCAAAACCATCCAACGGATTACAGTTTCGTTTTGTCATTTTGTGGTTAAAGGTTTAGAAGAGTTTTATTTATGAATTTGCTTTTAGATATAAGTAACCTGATTGTTAGAGTAACATTTGACCATTTAATTTTTAGGACCTATTTTATCAATGAGGAAGATGAAAACCTGCCTCATTACGATGAGAAAACCTGGTTTGTTGAGGATATCAATCGAGTACAAGCAGAGGACTTGCTTTATGGAAAACCTGATGGTGCATTCTTAATTCGTGAGAGTAGCAAGAAGGGATGTTATGCCTGCTCTGTGGTGTAAGTCTTCTTTGGGGGTATGACCTTTTGAAAAGTTCTGCTTTGATTAAGAGAAAACCAGTTCCTCATAAAATTCAGATCAGAATAGTTCAGGTACAGTAATGAGGCCCTGTGGCTTGGACCATTAATGTTTTATAAAGAAAACAGTTGCTTTAGGAGAAATGATATCTGAAATCATTTGGGGGTTTTAATTTAAATGGTAAATAGATTAGGCCCTGCGGTATTGCTACTGCATTTTCAGGTATTTGTGAAAAGTAATGTGAGATCTTTCATTGAAAAGATGACTTAATTCTTTATTAGTCTCTTACATGCCTAACTTGGTTTTCATTGTCAGATTTAGGAAGGCTTGATTAAATAGAACTGTTTTTACTTCAGAACAAAAACTTTATAAATTTTGTATTTAAATAATATTCAATTGAGGTAATGATAGAAAATGTTGAATGTTTCCATAAGATGATCTCACAACTTTGTTTGAAAAAGCCTTATTTCATTTTAATGGAAAGTACAATTCTGGGGACTACTAACTGTGCATTGGTCAGATTTTGCCTAAGTATTATGTATATTCTTTAGAAAGGCAAATTTCTTCATTGACAAAGACCACACTTAGAGTGGAGGTATAGTATGATGATTATGAGAGCAAGCTTTGGTGTCAGATGTACTGGATTCAAATTCTGACTCTGCCGTTTACTAGATGTGTGACCTAGGGTAAGTGACTTAACTTTTCTCTGCCCAGTTTCCTTATCAGTAAAATAAGGGTAATAATATCTACTTGAAGGTTTTTGAGTTAAACCTTAACTCAAAATGAGTTAAATGAGTTAAAATGTGTCATATAATATGCTTTGATCAGTGGTGGCACATGATAAGTAAACGTTGCTATGTTATTGTGATAATGATGGTATTGATGGACATGGCAGAAGGCAAGCCAAAATGACAAAATGATTTTCCTCTCAAAGAGGGCCAGGTGGTGAGGACAGACAAAAGGCACTCTTATTAATGGAGTGTTCAGTGCTTTATGTGGTCATCCTGTCTTTAGTGGTCTGCCTCTGTCATTGAGTCAGAGTTTGAGTCCAACTTTACCTGGTTTCAAAGCCCACATTTTCCTATTACACCATATTTCATTTCACAAATATCGAAGATAAATAGAATCACTGTGAAATAGATATCATTAGTAGTCTACACACATGCAGAACTGTTAATTCTGGTGGAAAAAGAGATTGGGAGGGTTTTGTGGAAGGGGTGGCGTTTGAGCTGGACTTTGGAAGGATGAATAATGGGATACCTATAGGCAGGAAATGGGGGAGGAGTTGTAAAGTACATTGAATTACTGTTATCCAAAGATACAGCTTGAAAAACATTTCATTTCTCTGAAACAAGGACTGCTCAAGTTGTCTGAATGGAAATGGCAGAAAAAGATGGTTTTTGCAGGAACTGAGATCTTTTAAGAACAAAAAAAAGAAGGAAGGTCATAATCCCAATGCATGCTCACCCCTGGTCATTGGGTGGCAGCCTCAAATAAATCCAGGGAGACCAAGGAGCAGCTTGAACAACTTAGGGATTCCTTTTTGTCTTTCTTTAGTCACAGACTCAATCAGAGTCAAGTCCACAGCAGTGTGGATTTCCCCTGCTTGTTAAACCCAACTGTAGTCATATGTCATATTGGAGCCCACATTGAAGATTTTCTGCAAGAAAATAAGTTAAAAAAGATAACTGTAAACATTTACATTAAAAAAGATCTCAAATTAATAACCTAACTTACCTTAAGAAACTAAAAAAAAAAAAGGCAAATTAAACCCACACAAGCAAAAGGAAAGGAATGATAAAGGTTAGAATGGGAGTGAAGACTTTCCATCCAGATGGAGGCATAGGTAGACCATAGAAAGCAAAACCATAGAAAGAATTAACAACCAGATCTCAGAAACAAAGAACACCCAGAACTATCAGAAAGTTGAGCTGTATGGAAGTCTGACAACCAAGGTTTTAAAGAGGCCACATACATGCAGACATATAGGAGGGGCAGAGTTGTAGAGTTGCAGAGATGGGGTGGAGAGATGTTGTGGCGCATAGAAGTGGCTGTGGTGGCAGCGGCAGAATGAACAGTACCACATTCACGTGTGGTGAATAAAAATCAGGAGACATACCTTGGGAGCGAATGATCCCAGTCCCAGGCCAGAGTGAACAGCCCAGGGTTCCAGCACCGGGAAGATAAGTCTCCATTACCTCTGGCTATAAAAACCATTGGGGGCTGGGGCAGCAGAAGAAACTGCTGGATTTCCGCCACTTAAAGGGTCCACATGGGCTATGAACATATGCAAACTTCATGGCAGCAGCTAGAAGGGTGCCAGTCATATACAGGATGTGGGTGAGGTGACTGGAAGCAGGACAAGTGCCGGGCAGTCCTCCAGAAGCCAGGAGTGGCATTGTACCCTCTTGCACCCCTCCACCTCTCACCCACCACAGAGCCACAAAGCGGTAAAGCAGGTTGCCCCATCCTGGCAATTACCTAGAGCTCCACCCCACACAATTTACAGGTGCCCTTTCTACATAGACTACTCTGCTAAGATAGGGAGTCAAAGCAGCTCTACTTAATATAGAATTGTTTCTCTATTAACCCAGGAGACTGCCAAATTGAGGAGGCAAAGAGACATGGCCCAAATGAAAGAACAGAACAAAACCTCAGAAAAAGAACTAAATGAAATGGAGATAGGCAACATATCAGATGCAGAGTATGGAACACTGGTGATCAGGATGCTCAGAGAACTCATTTGAATATGGCCACAAAATAATGAAAGAAAAGAAGGATACACTAAGTGAAATAAAAATCTACAGGAACCAACAGTGAAAGGAGGAAGCTGGGATTCAAATCAATGATTTGGAACAAAAGGAAGAAATAAACATTCAACCAGAACAGAAAGAAGAAACAAGAATACAAACAAACAAACAGACAAACAACAAATGAAGAGAAGCTTAGGAACCTCTGGGACAGCTTTAAACATTCCAACATCTGAATCATAGGGTTGCCAGAAGGGAAAGAGGAAGAGTGAGAAATTGAAAAGTTATTTGAGAAAATAATGAAGGAGAATTTCCCCAATCTGGCAAAGGAAATAATAGACTTCCAGGAAGTCCAGGAAGCTCAGAGAGTCCCAAACAAGGAGGGACAAGATGAACCAAGGAGGAACACACCAAGGCACATCATAATTACATTATCCAAGATTAAAGAGGAGAGAATCTTAAAAGCAGCAAGAGAAAAGGAGACAATTACTTACAAAGGAGTTTCTGTAAGACTGTCAGCTGATTTCCCAAAAGAAACTTTGCAGGCTAGAAGGGACTGGGAAGAAGTACTCAAAGTGATGAAAAGCAAGGACCTACAACCTAGATTACTCTCTCCAGCAAAGGTATCATTTAGAATGGAAGGGCAGATAAAGTGCTTCCCAGACAAAGTAAAACTAAAGGAGTACATTATCACCAAGCCATTGTTACATGAAATGTTAAAGGGACTTATCTAAGAAAAAAGAAATAAAAAACTATTAATATTAAAAGGACAACAAACTCACAACTATTAATAACTGAATCTAAAAAATAAAAACATATCCTAGCTGGTGTGGCTTAGTGGACTTAGTCCTGGCCTGTGAACCGAAAGGTCACTGTGTTTTTTTTTGTTTGTTTGTTTGTTTGTTTTTAGAGAAAAGCTTCTTTTTTTTTTTTAAGATTTTTTATTTATTTATTTTTAGAGAGGGAAGGGAGGGAGATAGAGAGAGAGAGACATCAATGTGTGGTTGCTGGGGGTTATGGCCTGCAACCCAGGCATTTACCCTGGCTGGGAATCGAACCTGTGACACTTTGGTTCACAGCCCGTGCTCAGTCCACTGAGCTATGCCAGCCAGGGTGAAAGGTCACTGGTTTCATTTCCAGTCAGAGCACATGCCTGGGTCACAGGCCAGGTCGCCATTTGGAGGCATGTGAGAGGCAACTAATTGATGTATCTTACACACATGGTTGTTTCTCTCCCTTTCTTCCTCCCTCCTTTTTTCTCTAAAAGTAAATAAAAGAAAAAATCTTAAAAAAATAACTAAGCAAACAACCATAACAGGAACAGAATTATAGATATGGAGATCATTTGGAGGAGAGGAATGAGAGGGAGAATGGGGCAAAAGGTGCAGAGAATAATAAGCATAATTGATAAATACAAAATAGACGGGTAGGTTAAGAATAGTATAGGAAATGGAGAAGCCAAAACACTTATATGTATGACCCATAGACATGAAGAACTAAGAGGGGTATTGCTGGAGAGAAGGGGCTACTGGAAAGAGGTAAAGGGGGGAAAATTGGGACAACTGTAATAGCATAATCAATAAAATATACTAAATAAATAAAAGAAGGAAAACCAAAAAAATATAATGGATGGAAATAAGTGAATTAGAGAGTAGAAAAAATTGAGAAAATACATGAAATCAAAAGTTGGGATGAGCAAAATGGACAGCCTCTAACTAAATTGACACACACACACCCCTATACACTCAAAGAGAGAGAAGACACAAATTACTAAAATCAGGATGGAAAAGGGGACATTACTTGCAGTCCTTACAGAAATTTAAGAAGATGATGAGTGAAGATATAAACAATTATATGCTAACAAATCAGATATCCTAGACGAAATGGACAAATTCCTAGAAGCACACAAAATCCCAAAACTGACTTATGAAGAAACAGAAAATCTGAATAGAGCTATAACAATGAAAGAAGTTGTAGTATTTAAAACAAAAACAACAACAACAAAAAAACCTCAAAGAGAAAAGCTCAGGCCTATTTGGCTTCACTGGTGAATTTTACCAAATATTTTTTAAAGAGTTAACACAGGTCCTTCCCAAACTGTTACAAAAAATAGGAAAGAATACTTCCCAATTCGTTTTATAAGGGTAATATTAATATTACTCTGATAGCAAAACCCAGACAAAGATACCACAAGAAAGTGAAACTATGGGATTGCAATCCTACACATGGTAGGATTCATCCCAGGAATGCAAGGGTGGATCAACATAAAGAAAACCCAACAACAAAATCAATCAGTGCAATAAACTATATTAATAAAATAAAGGACAAAAATTATATAATGCCCTGACTGGTGTGGTTTAGTGGGTTGGGCATCATCCTGCAAACCAAACACCAGTCAGGGCATATGGCTGAGTTTCGGCTAGGTCCCTGGTTGGGAGCATGCAAGAGGCAGCCAGTCGGTATTTCTCTTGCACATTGATGTTTCTCTCCCTTACTCCCTTGCCTGCTGTCTAAAAATAAATTTAAAAAAATTGAAAACAAATTACATGATTATTTCAAAAAGCTTTGGCAAAATCTGACATTTATTTCTCACTGGAGGATATGTTTAATTCATATGTTTATTGTCTCCCATATGCGCCTTGACCCAGGGTCAAAGCTGAACATAGGTGTATGCCCTGACCGGGATGAAACCCATAACCTTATGTTTTACGGGACGATGCTAGCCACACTGGTCAGGGCAACACTCTTTATATTAAAAAACACTAAACAAACTAGGAATAGGAGGGCACTTCCTCAACCTGATAAAGCGTTATCTGTGAAAAACTCACAGGTGATACACTAAATTGTGAAAGACCAAATGCCCGTCCTTAAGATCGGGGAGAAGACGATCATGTCCATGTGCACCACTCCTAATCATCATCACACAGAAGGTTCTAGCCAGGGCAGTTAGGCAAGAAAAAGAAATAAAAGGCATCCAGGTTGGAAAGGAATAAATAAATAAAGCTAATAAATGAGTTCATCAGGGTTGCAGATTAAAAGATAAGGATAAAAAATCAGTTGTATTTTTGTATATTAGAAACGAACAATCTGAAAAGAAAGTGAAAAAGACACACTATTAATAATAGTGTCAAAGGTGTTAAAATACCTAGGATTAAAACCAAAGCAGTACAGGAGCTGTATCGTGAAAAACTATAAAACAACATTGAAAGAACTTAAGGAAGATCTAAATAAGTGGGAAGACATCCAGTGTTCATGGATCAAAAGACTTAATATTGTTAAGATGACAGTACTTCCCAAGTTGGTGTACGTGTTCAGTGTAATCCCTTTTAAAAATCCCAGATTTTTACAGAAATTGACAAAATGATCCTAAAATTCATGTAAAAATGCAAGGGATCTAGAACTGCCAAAATAATCTTGAAAGAATAGAAAAAAGATGAAGTATTACCTCCTGATTTCAAAACTTAGAACAAAGCTATAGTAATCAAAATTGTGAGATACTGACATGAAGATAAACATGTAGATAGATCAGTGAATAGAATTGGGAGTCAAGAAATTCTTACGTTTATGGTCAGTTTTTTTTAAGGTTTTATTTAATTATTTTTAGAGAGAGGGGAAGGGAGGGAGAAAGACAGTGAGATAAGCATCAGTGTATGGTTGCCTCTCACATGACCCCTGCTGGGGACCTGGCCTGCAACCCAGGCATGTGCCCTGACTGGGAATTGAACGGGGGACCCTTTGGTTTGCAGCCAGCACTCAATCCACTGACCTACACCAGCCAGGGCTGATCAATTATTTTTCAACAAGGGTCTCAAGATCAGTCAGTGGGGAAAAAAAAAAAAATCATTGTTTCAAAACATGGTGCTGTGACAACTGGTGAGCCACATGCAAAAAATGAAATTGGACCTTGCTTCATACCATGTACAAAAGTTGACTCAAAATGGATCATAGACCTAAATGTAAAAGGTATAAGTATAAAACACTTAGGAGAGAACATAGGCATAAATCATTATGACTTTGGGCTAGGCAGTAGTTTCTTAATACACCCAAAGCATAAACACCAAAAGAAAAAATAGAGAAATTGGACTTTAGCATAACTAAAACTTTTTGCATCAAAGGACACTGTTGAGAATGTAAAAAGACAACCCACAGACTAGGAGAAAAGGTTTGCAAATCATGTATTTGTTAAATGACTAGTGTCTAAGAAATAAAGAACTCTTAATGAAAAGCTGAATGCCCTAGTTCAAAAATGGGCCAAGGATTTGAATAGACATTTTTCCAAAGAAGATATGTAAGGGGTCAATAAGCGAGTGAAAAGATGCTCGGTGTCATTGGGAACTGCTAATCAAACCCACAATGAGATAACACCAGGATGACTACAAAATAAAAAAGACGACAGTAACAAGTGTTGGTAAGGATGTGGAGAAATTGGATCCTCTTAAAATGCTGGCAGGAATATAAAAAGATGCAACCATTTTGGAAAATGGTCAGTTCCTCAAAAAGTTAAAACAGGGTCACCATATGACTCAGTTCCATTCCTAGGTATACATCCAAGAGAACTGAAAATATATGTCCAAATAAAAAAACTCATACATGAATGTTCAGAGTAGTATTATTCATAATAGCACAAAAGTGGAAACAACCCAAATTGGTTTATCAGTTGATAGATGGAAAAACAAAATGTGGGATATCCACACAATGGAATATTATTCAGTCATAAGAAAAAAAATGAAATAATGATACGTGCTACAACGTGGAAGACTTTTCAAATGGTGTGCTAAGTGAAGGCCAGGTGCAAAACATTGTGTGGTATTACATGATTCCATTTACATGAAGTGTCCCGAATAGGCAAATCCATAGAGACTGAAAGTAGGTTCATTGCCAAGGGAGGAATACAGAGTAGTTGCTACATGGTTTCTTTTTAGGGTGATGAGAATATTCTAGAATTAGATACTGGTGATGATTGCTCAATCTTGTGAACATTCTAAAAAGACTTGATTTATACACTAAAAAAATTGTTCTTGGTTTGTTCTGGCCCTCTCTAGTATTCTTGCCTAATGAAGATCCAGCGCTGAGTGAACAGAGCCATCCAGTTTAGCTTTGCCAGGTCTTAGTGGGAAGTGAAGGATATCTCTGTGACAGGTCTACAAGGAGGGGTGCGGGGACCCACATGGTTGTCACATTTTACCAGCTCGATTGACAAAACATTTTTACTCCTCCACAGAACATTTCTTCTCAGACTTCTCGTCATTTGGGGTCCCTTTATTATTTTTTGCCTTAATTCCCACGGTGTTTGTGTGTTGTATCTTGCAGTGCCGATGGGGAAGTGAAGCACTGTGTGATCTACAGCACGGCGCGGGGCTATGGCTTTGCAGAGCCCTACAACCTGTATGGCTCACTGAAGGAGCTGGTGCTGCATTACCAGCAGACGTCCCTCGTTCAGCACAACGACTCCCTCAACGTCAGGCTCGCCTACCCTGTCCATGCACAGATGCCCTCGCTCTGCAGATAAAGAGGGAGTGGGAAGAGAGGCGACTCTCTAGCATTTTTTCTACAGTTTTTATTAGACTACGAGGGCATTCTTTCTACGTAGACTGCTTGTTTTGCACAAGAAGTGATTCTGTGAATGTGGAGAGGCCAAGCAGCAGCCGGCCAGGATGGAGGCATGAGGGGCCTGAGGTTCTTTGGGACTCCCTCTGCCGCTGCACTGGCATGGGAAGCTGGAAGCAGATGTTTTTGGGAAGTCTGTTTCATTGGGATTTTTGTTTTATTTAGCCAGGCACCCTCAACAGAACACATTAGGCTGGGGGGGCAGGGGTTGTATCCGGAAGCTTCTGAAGAGTCCATGTCCTCTTTTGGTCTTCAACTCTGAGAGTGTGGCAGGGGCATGGCTCTGTGGGGAGTTCAGTTTTGATCTGGCAGTCTCTTTTAACTTCCAAGAGAAGGTTGTTTTGGCTTGTGGTAGAATGGCATTTGGTGAAAAAGACAACCAAAGGAAAATGGGGAGGCTTGTGACTTCATCTATGGACTCTTAGTCAAGAAAGAAAAAACCTTCAACTGAAGGTACTGTATTTCCTAACCAACATAACAGGCATCGACATTTCATAGCTCTTCCCTCTAAAGCAGCATTGTTTAGAAACCAAATTGATCCCAGCAAAACAATGTTACAGGACTAAGGTCTGATGGAAGAAGGCAGTGCTCGTGTCTGAATGCATACTGTACCAAAACTTGAAAATGAAAGGAAAACTAGAATTTATTAGTTTTAGTGAACACTAAAATGAGTCAGTGTAACTCCTCTGCCCTGCCCTTGTTTCTCAGAGATGAGAATAGTGTTCTTTTTTGTGGGCATGGTGAGCTTTGAATCATAAAATGAAGTTGGTGCTTGTGTGGTGTTTCCTTAGCCTAAAGAATGGTCTGTTGTTTGAAACCTTTGTAACTTGTTTGTATGAGTAAAGAAAAGGTGCAATCCAGTGCTTTTAGATGGCTTGATATACCAAATAATGATATAGGACGACATTCTTACATGTGCTTCCTCAGTGAACATGGTTTGATTACTCATCTTCTGTCCTTTGCTGGTTAGGGCTTCAGGGGTCATACATAGGCTGCTAAGGCTGTGGCAGGAAGGGGGCCAGATTGTGGTCAGGGACCTCAGTAAATCACAGACGTGGGGGCTCTGGCGTCCAGGGCAGGGGTCATCCCACATTACCCATGTGCTTCCATACAGTGCTTTCTGAAACTTTTGTAAGGAGAGAAAAGGACAGTTTGGAGTTTAGACTGTTAGGAGAGACCATCTGGAAGCTTTTCTCTTTGCCTTTTTTGTGATCCTGCCATTAAGATGATGTGCACAGACTGTCCTGATTATAGGCCAGGATCTTCTGCTCTATGTGGTTTAAGCCTTCCAGCTGAGTGAAGCTAGACGAATGGAGTCGGAGACAGGCGTCTCCTACTCCCATTATGCCCCATCCCCATCAGTCAACACTCATTTGACAAATAGAGTTCAGCTGCCTCTGAGCCAATTCTGGAACCATAATAGGCTCAGAGTGACTCAGCTGTTTGAGCCCCAAGCTGTGCAGCCAGGCGTCCTGGCTGAGCTGGACATGAAGCCAATATTTGGGTCTTGATATATCTGGGCTTACAGCTAGGAAAGCTCTAGTTGGGGGATGAAAGAAACAAATATTGCTTTCCCTGAGCACTTTTGTTGGTGACAGGGTCTAGAATGGACCATGATGTGGAAACTACACAGATAAGAAGTTTTGTAAAAACCTTCAGTTACTAACAGTGAAGATAGGAAGGAAAGATCATCACATCTTTGGCTTTTCTTTGGTTATGTTGCAGTTTCAGGATTGGATGAGACAGATGAATGAACCCTGCCCCCCCTTAGTGTCACTGTTCTGACTTAAGCCCTAAACTGATAGTCAGTGAGCTGCACATCCATTCCCCAAATTGCCAGATTGAAATCTTTCTGAAAGTTTCACTGAGTAATGTCAGGCTAACTGCTGCTAGGCACACCCGAATAGCCTTGCACCTGGTTGTTGAACTTATGCAGTTGGATGCTCAAGATTGGGCGTAAGGAGTCCCTCCTTTCTGGTACTAAAATTTAGTGCTATGAAAGTCTTAAATGAAAATGGGAATAAGGATAGACACCTGTAGTGCTGTGTGTTGCTTTTCGTCAGGTAGATACTAAGGGTGTGCAGGGAGAGCGCATCATCCATTAGCTACACTTGGGCTGGCTTGTGGAGAAGGGCTGCTCTATTTTAGTTCTACATTCCTTCATTTTTTCTTTCCTGTTTTTCATTCTTGAATCTGTTGCTTTGTGGGGACTAGACCTAGGGATCATTTGAGAAATTATAAAGTGAGTAGTTGCCATGATTTGCTTGACCCCGAGTCGGTGGAAATGGCATAGGGACCAGTCTGCTAGCCACTTGGAGGGGCAATACGCTGCTCCTTCCACCATGCTCTTGGCAGCAAGTCTTGGCTTTCATTTGAGTCTTGTTCTTTGTTCTGTCCCATACCTGACATCTCTCGCATGACATCTTAACTGCAGCTTCACTGAGGCAGATGGTAAAGAGAGACAACAAGACCAGAGGGGCCCATTGTTCCCTTGGCTACAGAAACCAGCTACCAACATGGAAGCAGCTTGGGGCTGGCTGGACACAGGTCTTAGGCTGTCTATTCCAGGTGGGGCTTTTATCACAGAACAATGCTGTCTCCACCTGGCTGTAGTTGCTAAACCTTGGCCTCAGGCCTGTTCAGGGTAGCTATGTCCTTGACCACTTATTGGCCAAGGTTGAGGACTTCCTAATAACTTTTCTACCCCATCTCATCTCCAAGCCCTGTTGGGACCTCCCACTTATTTTAGGCTTCACGTGGTATGAAGAAACTTTTTTGACAGCCAGTGTGGTATCTCTTCTTCTTGCTGCAAGGAACCAGCCTTCTGGGTTCCCTTGGGCCAAGAGTTGGATCTAGGCAATTCCTGGTTTTCAAGGTGGTCTCTGTTGCCAGTTAAGACTCAAATAGTCTTCTGTGAGGTTTTAGGGGCCTCAGAGGGTCCAAATGGGGGTCTGGCTGGGCCCTCTGCCGTCAACTGCTCAGCCTTGCTCCAGCTCCAGCCACTTGTGACAACCCTGTGTCCTTACGAATTCCAGCATGTCACTTTGGTGCCCTGTTGTTACTTGTGAAAAACCTGTTCTGTCGTCTTCGTTGTAGTCAAAAAATTTCATGTAGTTTACGTAAAAATATCTGATTCACAAGGAAGCCAACTATATGTCTTGTGTTGGGACTTCACAATGTAGTTCCTAGACCACTTTTGCAAATTGTTCTTGTCGCCAGATGTGTTCAGACATTGCTGTGCAGTTGTAGGGGAGGGTGGGGGGAAGGTGGGGGAGATACTTTGGTCTTTTTGTTTTTTACCTTCCCCAAGAGGGGACAGTCTGGCCAACTTCTCCAGTAATGCAATAAAGACATTGCAATAAAGTATCTCTCTGTCATGCTATGGAGGGGGCTGGGCTAGGGGCTGGGAGCAAGGGGAGGGCTTGGTGTTAAAAAGCCCTGAAGCTTCCAGGCCTTCTCTCCCATGAGCACCGATTGGTCCTGGGGCTGAACAGGGACCACCAGAGGCTCTCTTCTGTCCCTGAAGAGGAAGGAAGTTGACCATAACAGGTATGATGCCTGAATCCTGTCTGCCCGACACAGGACGCAGGGAGATGCAGAAACTAATCCTGAGGAAGTTAAATCTGAGAGCCATTTCCTCCTTATCCCACTCCTTTTAGAAAGCCCAGATTATTCTCATCACATCCTTTCCTCCTGGAAATAAATTTCCGCATTGTATTTTGGAGGCAGGGGAAATGGACTCAATCTCACGATTTGCCCTCTTGTTGCTCTGAGCCCTTGTCACCCTCCTGCCATGGCTCTTTGTTGAGGTTCCTATGTGTTGGGAACATAATCAACAAACAAGTACTAACCTCTGCTTGCACGGAACACTGCAGTTCTCACCCGTCCCTCAGGCCCGCAGGTGCACTGAATTATTAATCAGATCAGGTAGGGGAATGGTCTTATTCTAAATGACCTTGCCTATGACTCTCTTCCCTCACTACACTTTAGCGACATAACATCCTCCAGACCACTGCTGGGAACTACGGATGATTTCCCCAATCCCAAGAGTTGCTCCCACTCCACGTGGGACACTCAGATTCCTGTCTTCAGTTCCACCTGCTAGCTGAGTATCTCCACCAGGGCCCTTGGCATCACACGGGCATTGCACTGCAAACTTTCGGTTTACACAGAAAACATGCTTGGTTATGAGTTCCCTCAATCTTTGTAACACCAAACCTACAAAACTATGGATAGCCATAAAACAACTCTTTCACCTTTTCCACTACAAAAGGTGGCCCCCTTCCAACTGAAAGCCCATCTTTCCATACGCATTTTGGATTTTATTTTCTTCTGCCTTCTCAGGAATCTCCCGTGAGCAGTTATCAATTCTTTCACTGTTGTTTTCTCTCATCTGGACCAACTGACATTTGAACATGGTTGGCTACTTGACCCTCATTGGCTAATGTAGTTGGAAAATCTGATTATGGGCCTCAAATATCCTAAGTACCATGTGTCTTTCCATTTCTGCGGTCCCGGTTTCATTTTGTGCCGGGCTCTCTGCTCCAGGTGGACAGATGGCCCCCAGCAGCGCCCACCCATACATGTCCTCTGACAGCTCCGCCGAGAGGTCTTCCCAGGCACAGACTGCTGCTTGGTCCACATATCCACAGTGAGTGCAGCACAGGACCCATGGGAAGAGGCCTTGATAGGCTCAGCCTGAACTCTGCCCCTGTGGTGAGACGGGACTTGGCATTGACCGTTCCACAAGGACGACCTCAAGTACAGGAGGGGTGCTTTTGTAAGGAAGCAATGGTGGCCATTCAAGTTTAAAAGAAAATAGCAGAAATGAGTTTTCAGTCAGAAACATGTAACAGAAACATGAGTCAATGAAATATTCCATGTGATTTTAAAAATACTGCATGCTTATTCTTCCATCAATATAATGAAATAAACGTAAAAACAAAAAAAAACAACCCCTGAAACATCTCTCCACTTTCTCAATCCTATATCCTTTCCCTTCTCGTTCTCCTCCTCAAAGGCAAACTTTCTGCGGAGGAAAAACCCTAAATTTGTCCTTACTGCCTCAATGTCTCCTAACCCTTTCCCCCACCATTTCCAACTCCCTAAGGGGGCAGTTCCTCCCTCTGATGAGCTGCTGCAACACGTACCTGCCCCAGCCCCTTCACCTGGTGCTTCTAACCAGGTCCTGATAGACATGGGGGTGGGCTTCCCCAGGCAACCAGTTACCTGTGTATTCCCAGTGTCCAGTACAGGGGTTGGCTATCAGTGAACAACTAGAGGAGGATGTGAGTTCAAGAGGGGACCAGGAGCCCCACTTGTGGGCTGTCATGGGCAGGGTGCGCCCTCTGGTGGCCACAGCCTTTCCATGTGGGGTGACCAAGAGCTCCAGGGCGCTTAAGCACCCAGCCAGGGTCCCATAGGCATTTTCCAGTTTCCAAGCCTTTTGATGTCTCTCCTTTGGACCTAGGCATTGGACTATGGGGCAGTTAGTGCAAGACAACAGTTTTACAAGTCCTTTGTCACCTGAAGGCACTCTTCTATCCGTGGTACTCCATCAGAGCCCTGCTCCCGACTCCTCCAGCATAGCAGTCCCACAGACGTCCTCCCTCTCCCTCCAACACCACACCGCCCAGTGTGGGCCCACTCGTGGCGGGCTGCCTAGCTCAGCAGTGTCTGTCTCCACTGCTGAGGCCTGCCTGACCAGTCCAGGAAGGGCTCACTGGCTACAAATGTTGATGACTTTCTACTAAATACAGAAGGCAGTTCTTCATTTTCCTCTCATCTGGCCTCCCAGCATTTTACCAAGTAACTTCACCCATTTTAAAACTCTTCTCTTGGATTTTACGACTTCCTTCTGGCTTCTAAATCTTTCTTTGCCTTAAGTACTTGTGCACCTCAGTGTATCACTATTGCTACATTGATGGCTCTCAATTTTCTATCATCAGCCTAGATTCCTCTACTGAGCTCCAGACCTGTTCATCCAGTTACTTTCTGGGTGTCCACCAAGTACCAAGTTCAACTCACCTCTCTACACCTTTCCCCTTCATTTTCTGGTTAAGAGGCATTCCAATGTGGAAGAGTTAAGAGACCTAGGTTCTAATCTTGGCTCTGCTCAAGCTAATGATCTTGTTAATATCTGAAACCTGAGTTCCCTGATCTAGCCAAAGCAGGATTATTAGTTGCTCCACGGCCTTGGATTCCCTATCACCTACAGAAAGTCTAAATCCCTGGAAGATCATTATCTATGACCTTTGTCTAAGTCATCTAGACCCATTTCCACTTTGAATTATTTTTGGCTCCTTGAATATACCAGGAATATGGTTAAGTGTTACACTTTTCGCCTGGACATTATTTCTTACACCAATTTCTACTCTTCTAATCTAGCACACCACTAGCTACCACTTATCTTTCAGGTTTGAACTCAGAAGTCATTAATTTCTGGGAAGTCAAGCTGGTTTAGAGGCCCCTTCCCTGATAGTGGAAACCGCCTCACTCACTGTTATCAGCAGCGACATAGGACCTCGTGGTACATTTGTGTTGACTAAAGGAAAGCAGCAAGCAAAAGACAAAGATGGTTTCCAAGAGCATGTATTACACAGGTCTGAAGGCAAGAAATGCCAGACAGCCGCTATGTTTGCTTTAAAAGCTCATCGGGTGCCAGCACCAAGTCCTGATGCTTTTGAGGGCCTCCTGGGTCTCGGCCCCTCCGGAGCAGGCTGCGCCCAGGCTCCTGGGTGAGGGGGCAACTTCTGCATGGAATGTTCTGCCTCCTGTCACCTGAGGCATCAGGCACTTTGGTGATGCCCAGGGCTGGCTCCCCTTTCTCTGTCTGTGTGCACTCAGGCTCCCACAGCCAGCTTTGGCTACGAAGCTCACAAGGTTGGTGGGCTAGCCGAGGGGCGCTGGGTGGCCAAGACTTCCCCTCCAGCCTAGGAGACAGGTTCTCAGGGTGGGCTGGAGTTGTGGTTTCCAAATCCTGGGAGCTGACCAGCCCGCCTTCCATTGTTGCCTTTCTGCTTGAGGATGCCTCCTCTGAGCCCTCCATAAGGAATTTCCAGGACCAAGGGCCTGGCTCTCCTGAGGTGGAGCAGACAGTGGGGCCACTGGTTAGGGTGGGCCCTGACGAGCTGGGACAAAGTGCTGTTAGTGCCTGGGTGTGGAGGGGCTGGGCTTTCAAGCAGCTTTCAGGGGGAGTGGGGTCTGTGGGTCCAGCCCTACCCAGGCTGGGCGCTAGTGACAAGGAACTGGCTGCCTCCTCAAAGACTTGTGGGATGCCAAGCCTCCTCTGGGGGACACCAGGGCTTTCCATTCTGGGGTCCTTAGGCAAGAGGGCATCTTCTTCCTCACCCTCTCCTGCTTCTCTGAGGGGTAGATCCTGGCCCACTTCTGGGTTAGGTACCACGCTTGACTCCTGTACACCTTGGGTGTTCTCAGGCCCCTCGTCAGTGTCATCCTCTGAAGAATCAACCTCACGGATGGCTTCCTGCTTCTGCAGTGACTCTCGCCGCTCAGCTCGGTCCTGTCGGAGGGTGCCTAGAGCTCGTGAGGAAGCAGGCTGCAGCACCCCCTTCCCTGGCAGTGCTCCCTTCCCAGACAGCATACTCCTGGTCCCAACTACCTCCAGAGGACTGACTTCCCTGGGTGGCAGTTCCTTCTTTAGCTCAGGGTGGGGCAGGTCAAGGCTATGCTTTCGAGAAGTGGCTAGCTTCTTCTCAGAAGCAGCAAGTGCAGCCCCCAGTTTCTCAGCTGACTGCACCCTCTTAAGTAGTGGTGAGCGGGGAGGCTCCGCACCCTTGGGCCGTGACAGTTGCCTGCCCAGGGGAGGCGACAGGTGAAGCTTGGTGGGGAGGGCCTGGGTTCCGTGGCCAGACAGGGGCGATGGGGAGCGTTGGGGTGAGGCCGCTGGTGGTGGTGAAGGGGTGTGGGCCAGCGGTGACAGTGGGATGCTGCCTGCTGACTTGCGCCGTGGAGAGCGGTACTGCCGTTGCAACTTGGGTGCCAGACCGTGCAGGGAGCTGGGCCGTGTGTGCCCAGAGCCGGCTGGAGAGCTGGGCACACTGGAGCTGGGGGAGCTGCTCTGTGATGAATTCCCTCCCACTGTGCACGGACGGACAGACAAAGGCAGAGTAAGTTAGCTGTTAGAGATGAATGAGTGGCAAAGCAGGGCTTAGCCCTGGAATGTCCCAGGATCATCAAAGTTATTTACCCCACCAGTGAACCAGGGCCCAGGCTATAGAAATGAAGTCACCCTCCACCCCTGTCACCTCCTCACCAAGACTGCTGGATCTTTCAGGGGGTGGCTGAATAAGAGTTCCAGAGTGGGACCAGCGGGAAAAACACAAGAGGGCCCAGGTGCTTTCGTACCTCCCAGGGATCGTGCCTCTGATCTGCAGGGAGCCCTTCCTACCTGAATGCACAGCGTCAGGGGTCACCCGGTAGCCCTGAGTGGGAGATCGGGGGGAAAGGCTGTGGCTGTGTGTGGGAGAGCCCGGCCCGCTCTCCCCTGATGACAAGGAGCGGTTAAGGGAAGAGAGGCTGCGGCTGGTGTGGAGCAGGGTTGCCTGCTTGGTGATCTTCCGGAACAGAGAGCTCCTTTTTCTGCTGCAGAGACAAGCGTCAGAGGCTGTCTGACTTTTGCACAGGGCACAGCATACACTGGGCTCAGGGCCAGCCCCCAGCACACCCGAGCACCATGTATTGGCTAAGAGCAGACCCTTGGGCTAAGTCTGGCTCACCTTTCTTGCCCATCTTTGCCCCGACTCCACTTGCTCCTTCGGGCCATCTTGGCCTTGTAGCTGCCCTTCCGAGCTGGCCCCACTTTGATGGATGTGTTCTCCAGGGGCGTTGTTGAAATGGACAACTTGTTTCCACTCTGGGGAACAGAACATGAGTCTAGGCTAAGACAGTGGCCACATTCTTGACCCAGTCCCTGACCGTGGGTGGCCAGACCACAGCTCTAGCCATTGTCCTCGCATCAACACGTCTGAGCCACAGACCTGTCTTCCCCCCTTCTCACAGGTTAGCAAATGGCTTCAACTAGAGCTCAAGTAGTTGGGCTTGGGAAGGTAGAGAAGCAGCTTACCAGTCCTGCCCTCCAGCCCTGCCCATAGCTCAGAAGGGTACCTGGGCCTCGGTCAGTGAGGATGCTGCCTTCCAGCGAAAACTCACTGCTATGGCCACACCCACGTTCCGCACGTATGCGCATCTGTCCTCAGTGAGGTGCTGGTGCCTGTGTGCCCGACTCTCCACTCCCCTAGGGCCGGTCACAGACGCACAAAGCTGGGCCGACCACAGGAGCTGCACACCCAGCACTCACCTTCAGGATCAGCTCCACCACCTCTGTGTGCACCAGCCCATGCACAGGCTCCCCATTGACGTGAGTGATGAGGTCGCCCTGACGAAGCCCTGCCTCACTGGCTGGACCTCCGTCCTCCACGTGCTGCCCCGGGAGAGAACAGTTCTCAGTTCTGGCCTGTAGCCTGAGCATGGCCCCCAACAGTAATGTGGGCACAGAGGGGGGCAGGGACAGGCAGGCCCTAGTAGGGGAGGCCTGAGGAATCACGAAGCTGGGAGACAATAGGTGTGGACGGCCAGACATACCCACACCATGTGGTGCACAGTGTAGACGTCTGAGTCGCCCATGTAGACGCGGATGGCCCGCAGGGTGAAGCCGTACTTCTTGCCAGCTCGGTGGATGATGATGGGGGTCCTGGAGTTGCTGAGGGCTGGCAAGAAGTCCCTGCTTGGAGAAGAGTCCCTGGATGACGGGTTGGATGACTGGGAATGTGGGGACATGGGGCTGGCCAGTGGAGAGCAGCTGTGGTGTTCTGGAGAAGGAGAAACTGGACTTAGTAGTGCATCAGGGGACCCTGGCCTGGCCACGCTCCCAGACCAGCCCTGTCCAGGCCATCGACCCCACACAGCTCCAACCGGAGACAGCGCCTGAGCCCAGGCATGTCTTCCCGACAGCCTCTGTGCAGCGAAGCCCCTCATGTACCCAGACCCTCGCAGGCCCCAGGAGGCGATGGGGAATGGCATCTAGCATTTACTGAGTGTTTACTTAGATGTATCAGGGACCATGTAAGCTCTTCATACATATTTAAACATCACAATTATCCCGTGAGCTACCACTATTGATATATCCACAGCTTTTGATGAGGAACTTGAGGCTCAGAGGGGTTAAGCAACTTCTTCAAGGTCAAGAGTCATTTAGTAATGAAGCCAGGATTTGAAATGTGCTCTGTGCCTCAGAGCCTGCACTTCTGACATGGTTCATATCCTGCCTTCTGAGACGCACACACAGAATCCCAGACACCAGTGCACACCTTCAGAGATGTCTAGTTTCGCACAGAGGGACGGAAGTGCCACCTGGTCTCTCAGGCACCTATTCCTCAAGATACGGTGCACGGACACATGTGGCCTGTGCAGACCCCTGCCACAGGCCCTTCCCGTGAGTTCTGTCCTAGCTCCCTGGGGCCTTACCTGCAGGAATGAGGAGGGACAGGGCTGTGGCCGAGGCAGACTTGATCACTTTGTTGATGGGGCGGGCTGTGCGCTTTTCTATGGAGTCCCCAGAGAGTAGCCGGTGGCGCGCCCTGCGCACTGCCAGGTCACTGATGGCCTTGGCTGTGGCTCCCTCGGCCAGCTGTGGGGTCCCACGGCCCCGAGTCTCCATGGCTGTGGGCCCAAGTGAGCAGTGAGACCCGCAATGCAGCTGAGTCTCCCCTCCCTGCCTGCCTGCACTATCGTCCAGCCCAGGCCCTTTGGCCACCTGCTGGGCCACACCTGGACTAGAGCCACCGCTCTGGCCACCAGGATCCCCGTCCAGCTTCAGCTGCTGCTCCACGGGCCGTTCAGGAATAGGCCCAGGTGCCCCTTCTCCAGACAGGGGTGTTAGAAACCACACACCCTCCTGCTGCTGCTTCCTGGGGGTGCCGGTAGCCTCCTCAGGGCTCTCAGCAAAGCGAGGCACATCAAGGAGGCCCGAGCAGCGACGTCGCACTGTCAGCGGAGGGCTGGAGTCGCTTTCCGTGTGGGATGACTCAGACACCGACAGCCGCTTCCGTAAGCTGCAAGACAAGGCCTACAGTGAAATGGCCCAGGGTCTCCCTCCTCCAGCCCAGGCTTCCTCAGGGGTCACAGATCTCTTCTCAGACAGTCCTCGGGGTACATTCTTGTGAATGCCCCCTCTCTGCCACCAGCACTCCTCCCCAGCCTCTGAATCGTGCCCCTGATCGGTGACAACCGATGGGTGACAACCGATGGGTGGCTGTGCTGCCAACCCTGGTGAGCCCTGGGTGCTCACATCTCAGGGGAGCCAATCACCCAGCTCCGGTCCCGACCCTTCAGCCCTGCCAGGCCATCCGAGCGGTCTTCCTTCTCCTCGCTCAGGCTGCGCTTGGTGGGGGGTGGTGTCCGGCGCTCCTCGAGCAGTGACAGCCGCTCCATGCTACTGTACACCTGTGGACACAGAAGACACCCCTAAGGAGCAAAAAGTACCCTTGCACCTGAAACGCAGGAATCTGAGCCAGTGCTCCCCAGTATACACCAGTGAATATTCGAGGAAAAGGGGATTCCACTGGGCTGGCCTGGCCTCACCCCTGGTATCCCGTAGGTCAGGGCTGGAGTGGTTCTAGACATAGGTCATGTGCAGGCCCAGCCCTTTCCTCCTCCTTTCCCTGAGGGGCTCCATCACCCCCTCCCGCAGCCTGCCCCGGGCACGTCCCTTGGCAGGTCCTCTTCTCCCAGTTCTCCAGCCCGTCCCTCCCCGGTCTGGGTCTGCCTCAGCGGTACCTTGCTGAATCTGGGAGAGCAGGAAGAGAACTGGCGGATCTCAAGGCAGCCGTCTTCACTCACTTCCTCCTCGTCCTCCGAGTCCAAGTGGTGGTAGCGATCTGAGCGGGCTGGGTCAGACACAGGACAGTCCCCTTCAGAGGCTCCTTTCGACCCAAACGGATCTCAGGAGGGCCTGGAGAACTTGCTCTCCCAATGCCAAGGTTCAGGGTACACAAGTGTTTCTGGAAAAACAGGTAGGAGTCCCACTCTTCCCCATCGGTGCCCTTACTGTCAAAGTAGCTGGTGTCATCCTCTGACTCCAGTTGAGGAATAAATTCAGCCTTCTGGCGAAGAAGTCCGGTCCAGTCCAGACCGGTAAAGAACGGGTGCTGCTTCACCTCACAGGCACTGCCTGGGAACAGGGAGGGCGTGGGCAAGGGGCCGGATGAGCCGGGTGGAGTCCAGGTCAGCAAGGCCAATGGGAACCCAGACCTCACGGGGCAAGCCCTGGAGGCCTCAGCTCCCATACTTTCCAAGCTCGTTTGCCCAGGGGCAGCAGGGCAAGTTTTGGGATGCAGAAGCACTGCCCACACTTGAAGCCTGACCCTCCTGGCTGCATGCACTCAGCCCCCCTCCTCCCTTTTCCAAGTGGGGAGCAAGGTCCATGGGGTCTGTCCTACCTGTACCCAGTCTCTCCAGAGGGTTCTGATGGAGCAGTTTAGAGGTGAGGTCCTGAGCGTCTGGAGGCAACGCGTCGTCCCCCCCAGGCCACACAATCTCATCTGAGCAGTGATTGGGGGTGAGAAGAAAGGAGTGGGCTGAGAGAAGGGTCTCAGAAGTTGTGGGCAGAGTGGGGAGATGGAGGCAATCCTTGGATAGGATGAGGAGAGGGAGGCGTAAAGGGTTCGGCCTAGGACCCCAACTCCTTAAGTTCTATCGGTTTCTGACCTCAGAGACCACCCACTAGACCATGGCTTGCTCTCTGATCCAGGGAGGGCACCGAGAAACAGAGACTTCCCTGTCCTGATGCTCCATCCCACCCTGCCTCTATACTCCAGACACACGTACACTAACACACAGACTCACACTCACATGACACACACATAGACAACACAGGTACACCCATGTACACATGGGGGACAGATGAACATAAACAACAAGCCCCAGGTGACACAGAGTGTCCCTGTGTGTGCGCACACACACACACACCTGGGAGGCAAGCCCACCATCACACACATGAACTCAGAAAAGGACTCATAAGCCTCACAGGTACACACGCAAATCATATTTGTGGATCCAGACTCTGCCTCCCCAGGGTGATGGTACCTACCACTGATCACTTGCCCAAAGAGCTCCTCCGGAGTGTCTCCAAAGAAAGGGACGCAACCCACCAGGAACTCATACAGGATTACACCCATGGCCCACCAGTCCACTGGCTTCCCATAGCCCTGACGCAGGATCACCTCAGGTGCAATGTACTCCGGGGTCCCGCATACCTAGGCACAGAGAAGCCAGGCCGGCTCAGAGTGCTGCAGCAGCTCACTGGCATGGCAGCTGGAGGGGTAGGGATGTCCCCACCTTTGGGGTAGAAAAGTCTCTGAATGAAGACTAAAGACTCAGCCAACTTCAGTTAATGTGCAAGCTCAATCAGGTTACCAGGGTTGGGAGTGTTGGTGGGCCGAGTTTCTGTGTTTCCTGATTACTCAAAACATCTCAGCCTAGCCTGGAACCACTGCTCTCCGATCCCGCCCCACCTCCTTCTGCCATCTCGGGTCCCCACCCCACAACTGCCTCCACCCTCCACTGTCCCCAAAAACAGACCCTACAGTCACGTGAGGGACTGGTGAACAGTCACAACCTAAAGTGTCAAGGCAGGGGATGTCCGGAGGCTCCTGTCAGGAAGCGGGCCACGGCCCGGTGGCCGTGCGGAGCTCTGTGCCATGAACAACAGGCTCCTGAGAGCCTCGCTCCTGACTGAGGCTGGAGGTTCCAACTGAACCCACACCGGTCTCTGAGAGTGTCCGTGGTCAGACGATCCGTCTTCTCCAAACTCGGAGGAGGAAGAGGATTTTTCAATTTTGTATCTATATAATTCTATGGCCCACACTATTTTCTACATGTGCTACCTATCTCTATGCCTCCCTGGGACTAAGATGAAAAAGACAGGATCTCCCAGCTGTAACACATACTTAACAGGGCAAGCATACGGCCCCTGGTCCTTATTCTGAGGCCTGGAATTCAACTCCCAAGGTCTCAACCATCCCTCCTTACCTGCTTGTCCAGGAACTCCCGGGCATCCTTTTCAATGTGGCCCTCGTACAAGTTTGTTGTCAGGCTCATGAGGCCAATTTTAGAAAGGCCAAAGTCAGTGAGCTTGATGTGCCCCATGGATGTGATCAGGAGGCTGGGAAACCAGAGAAACAGGAGGATGGAGTTATTTCCTAGTTTCCTAAGAGTGCTGACTTGAGTTTATGCCGCATTTTCCCACTCAGGCTTCTAGGGGGCTACTGTGGGGCACTGGCAGGGAGCTGGTGAGCTGCCAGAGAACACAGAGCTCTGGCTTTGTGTGCACTGCATTCTGCACCAGAAACCTGCTTCCTGCCCATCGCCCCAGCCCATGTTTATTGTCTTACACTGGATTCTATACTGGGCTCAGGTATCAGCCAGCGGAGAAACACTTCCACAGAGTGATCAGCCTCATCCTAAGGCTGTAGCCAGTCCCAGTCCCCTCTCCTCACCCGGGTTGCTCACAATACCCCCAACTCAGGGGCACATACCCTTACCCCGTGTCCATGGTTGGTCTTATAAGGAGGGTTGGTTGGGAGAAACTAGAAATAAGACTGCACAAAGAATTCTCTTTCTGCTCTCTTTATATAATCTGCCTAAGCCATTTCATTTTGTGTGAAGGCTGCTCCCTGCCACCCCTTTATTCTGTGATTCCCAAATCAGTCTCTGGCCTGGACTCCTAGAGCTCCATGTCTCTTAACTGCCCATAAGTGTTACAGGCACCACGAACTCAATCCGTCCAAAACAAGGTCACACTGCCTAACTGGTCCTCTTCTTCTTGGTAAAAAGCAATTAATTTCTGCTACCTACTGAGCTTTGTTATAAGTGCTTTATTGTTATTTACAAAAATATTTTGGCACCTGAAAGGTTGTTGAGAATAACTAATACAAAAGTAGGCATTATTATCCCCATTTTAAAAAGGAGGAATATGCCCTGGCTGGCATAGCTCAGTGGATTGAGTGCGGGCTGTGAACCAAAGTGTCGCAGGTTTGATTCCCAGTCAGGATACATGCCTGGGTTGCAGGCGATGAGCCCCGGCAACCGCACATTGATGTCTCTCTCTCTCTCTCTCTCTCACCCCCTTTCCCACCCTTCCCTCTCTAAAAACAAATACATAAAATCTTTTAAAAAAAAAAAAAGGAGGAATGTGAGGCTCAGAGAGGTGCAATACAGAGACTTGGCTCAAGAGTTAACGAGTGGTCATCTGAACTCAGGTCTGTCTAATGTCAAAGCCACTTTCCTCTCCAGAGGCTCATCGCCATGCACCAGTCCCGATCTAGAAATCTGGAAGACATCCCAGACTCCTCTCTGCATCCCTACTTGACCTTACCACCTCCTCTCCACTCCCCACCACTCCCCGCTTTCTTCTCCATCTTGACTCTGTTCCAGTGCCGGCGTTCTCGCCTTGCCTACTGCGATGGTCTCGCCATCTCTTCCCGCTGGCAGAGTGATCTCCCTGAACTAAAACCAAAATCTGTGTGTCATTCTATCATACCTTTGGTTCATAAAACTTTCAAAGACCTCTAGAACCCTTTAAAATAAAACTCAAACTTAACAAAAAGGCACTTGATGATCTCTCTCTCTAGCCGTATCTCTTACTACTCCGACAGACCAATCTCAGCTTCAGCTACACTGTACCATTTGTAGTTCCTGAACGGGCCACACCTGTGTGCCTTTGCAAATCTGCTCCCCAGCTTTAGAGAGCTCCTCTACCTTTCCCCAACTGACTAACACCTTCCGAGAAACAGGCTGTACACAGATATTTCTGTCTCCCACACTAGATCAGGGACTATTTTATAGCCCTAATAACACGCTTGGCACAGAGTCGATGTCAGTAAATGTCAGAACACTTGTTCAGCCATCTATTATATATGCTGATTTTTGTGTCCTTGCTTGTTTCTGGAGTGGTGCTCCTCAGTAGCTCTTACATGTCACCGAAGCCTTACAGTGCCCTGCTGGACCTTGCTGGCGAGGGTCTTTGCATCTGGGGGGTCAGGGGAGAGTACTAGGCCTGGATGGATACCCACATGAATACTGTTTCCCAGCAGCCATTCTGGTACAGATTCAAACATGCTGTGTTTGCCTCCACTTATCAAGATCCAAGAGGGAGAACTGGGAACAAGGGGCTGAAACAGTGGGCGTACTTGTCAGGCTTGAGGTCCCGGTGCACGATGCCATAGTTGTGCAAGTACTCCAGGGCTAGCACAGTTTCCGCAAAGTACAGACGCGCCATGTCCACAGGCAGGGCCCCGATGTTCTTCAGCAGAGTGGCACAGTCTCCCCCTGCAACAAGGGCAGGCCACCATGGAGGAAGGGTCCAGTTCTCTGCTCTAGATGGTCTTAGACTTCCAGCCTCTAAGGCCCCACAGGAGACAGCATCATGGAAGACCCTGGGGCTAAGGACTGTGATTCTAGCCCCTCTGTTGCTGCCACGGGTGGGAGACAGAGTGTGGAGGGGAGCAGGAAGTAGGAGAACGGCTACGTAGGCCATTGTTCAGGCCAGACAGCGGGGGGAACCCCAGGCCTTTATGCCTGTCAGTGATTTGTAGGGATAGGACCAAGTTATTTTAGGGTGGGATCCTGCATATTGTAAACACATCTGGCCGAGACGTCAGCATTGTTCATTTATTTCCTTTCTGATGGCTGTCCTTTATTTTTTGAGTGAAGTAACACTGTAAACTCCCAGCATGCACCCACGAATTAAAAGGGGAGCGTTGTTCAACTTCAACTTCAAGACTTAGGCAAAATATCTTTAGAAGCTATACCAGCATTGAGAAGGGGAGAAGGAAGACCACTGGCCCAGCTGCCCCGTGACTCTCTTGTGCTCCATCCCGCGAGCATTTTGTGTGGCCTTAGGGGGTGGTCCCTTCACAAGCATCAACAAGGGCTAATGGCTTTCCTGTCTTCTGAGGGCCCAGAGGCAATCCCCCCAGCATCCAACCCTGGGCCTTTGTGGCTAGGCCACCTCCCTTTTTCCTGTCTGGTGCTGGCAGCAGAGGCTGTGCAGACTCTGGGGTGCAGGAGTCTACAGCCACCAGGCTGGCACGTCCTGTCCCAGAGTGCCTCACATCGCACTTGACACCGGCAGCCTCCAGGCAGCTACTGTCGCAGAAGCCTCCTCCTGTGAGGGGCAGGGAGCTTTGTGCTCACTGTAGCCAAATGGCCTGAGACTCTAAGGCAGAAACCAATGTCACAGAGACTGGGACGCTGGGGCCTGAAACTTTACCCCTATACAAGCTATTGATCCCAGGTCAGAGCTAAGTCTCAGAGTGTGCCTTGACGTCCACACGAGGCTGCCTTTCTCCGAGTACCTTCAACATACTCCATCACCATGCAGAGGTGGCGCTTGGTCTCAAAGGAGCAGAACATGCTGACCACAAAGGGGTTCTCAGCAAAAGTCAGGATGTCACGCTCCACAAAGGCCTGCTGGATCTGGTTCCGCAAGATCAGGTTCTGCTTGTTGATCTTCTTCATGGCGAAGCGCTGCCGGGCAGACTTGTGCCGCACCAGAAACACGGCCCTGGGAAACGCAGCCCATTCAGTCCTTCGTGGACCCTCAGAGCCTGGGCTGTGCTCTCTACCACCCAGTGCTGGGGTGGCCAAACTCCTGCCTCTAACAAAGGAGCAGAGCTATGCTCATCAATAAGAAGGATCTGGGCCCCTGCCTATAGAGCTCTTCAATTTCCTGATATACCAAGTCTCAAGGACACAGCTCAACCCTTCCCCAGAGCTCAGTGAGAGGCGTGCTACCAAGAAGCGCGAGGGTCGCCTGGGAGAGGAACGATGCTCAGGTACTGGAGGAAACTGAACTCTTGCCCCTCCAGGAGACTTTGGGGAAAAAGAAGGCCCATCCGGAGGCATCTACTGCCTGGAGGATTAGGCATCATATACTTGTAGAAGGAAGAGCCCAAGGGCTGACTTAGCTCCAGTCCCGCCCACACCCTGACCCCTGCCTTTACCCATAGGCGCCATTGCTGATGAGCTTAATGGTTTCGAAGTCCTCTTCACAGGGTGTCTTTTTAGATGTCCGAGATGCCCCTCGGCCCTGGAAGATGAGGGAAAAGGCAAGAGGCAGGCATGCTTCTCAGGGCCCCTGTGCTTAGGGAAGCTGTGGCCCCAGCATCAGCTCAGCTCTTGGCCCTGCTGCGGCCTCCCGCCCAGGCCCCCCTGGAGCTGAATGAATGACTGCTCAGGCATGTCCCCCACCCCCTTCCTTCAGGCGTTCTATTCCAGAGAATGCAGAGCCCTTTGCTTCACAGGGCCCAGGCTCCAGGATTGGGGCAGGAGCAAAGGATCTTCACCTCAACCGAATCATCCGTCTCCGGGGTATCAGGACTGTCATAGCTGCTCAACTGGGCCATTTCTAGAAACAAAGCAAGGACACAGAGAAAGATGTGCATGGCACTGTCAGGCACCTCAGCAGTCCGCTCACATCATACGACAGGTGCGCACAGGACAAGTATTAGTGCTTTCTGCAGCAGACCGGGATGCAGATCTGGCCCTGTGCCCCTCCTCAGTGTGGTCACAGCTTTTGAACTTGCTTGCTGATTACATGGCCACTCCTACTTCTTGAGGTCCAGACCCATTACAAGGCCTGGCAAATTCTATACAGCTTCCCCAAAACTTGGGACAACTGCTGGAAAACAGGGCCTGAAACTGGGCTCTTGGTCCCCATCCTGCTGGCCAAGACTCAGCTTTGCTGGATGGGGCCAGGAAGCAGGGAAGGCCGGATGACGACAGAGCAGGGACCAGGGATGCGGAGCCCATAGTTCATGCAGGGGCTCAGTGTGAAGGCCCGGAGAATGGAGACCATCTTCTGAAACCCTGAGTTGGGGCCGCCCCAGAGACACAGAAGGACGTGTAAGGTGCCAGCAGGAGAGGTGGGCATGCAGAGGAGGTGAGCATTTTTAAAAATGTGACTGTGGTCCTGTTGTTAACCACCTTTGACCTTTGGCTCTAAATGCAGTCCAGCTGAGCCCCAGGCAGTCCAGGCTGGGCTATGCCAGGCTGATAGGAACAATTTTGAAGGGGGAGGCTGTTTTATGACAGAGAACATAGGGTTCCTCCTATCACCCTGAGGCCCGAGGCTGTGCCAGGTCCAGGTCCAATCTGAGCCTCTTCTCCAAGTGCTCCCCCTACCGTTAGAGCGTGTTGGCTGTGGGGCTCCTCTGCAGCCAGTGGGCAGCATGCTCACCCTCAAGGGGATCCCGTGTGAGGCCCAGCTGGCTAATGATGTAGCGGGGAATGTCACATTTAATCCCTTGTCCCACTTTGGCGTGGCCCTCAGCTGCTTCTAACAGGTGGTAGAACTCTTCAGGGTCAAACTCCTGTACCGGGGGGAGAAAGGTAGTCAGTGGTGAGAACCCCAAGAGGAGGGTATTAGCCTCCCTGATTTTATGCCATACACCCAGCATGGGATGGACAAGACTCTCCCTTTGTGATGGGACACCTCTCCCCCTGAACACCTAGAAACATCGTGATTCAGAGGTCATGAGCATGGGGACAAAGCTGTCTTACAGGTACACTTTCAGACTGGACATCCTGAGCATAAGCTGTCTCCCCAGCAATAAGAACCTGTTGATTTCAAAAAAGCTCAGCCTATTCCTCTGGTCCAAGGCCTTCCACCAGCCAGATGGCACTGTCAGGCATGTTTACACACGCAGTCCACGGGAGCAGCCCTGGCACACTCTCCGCTACGACTCGCAGCCTGGTGGTACATGCGTGCCTTCAGGTATTTACTGAGCACCTCCTGTGTGCTGAGAGCTGGAGAGCCACGGGCATCAGAGCACAGCAGTCCTTGTCTGTATGGAGCACGTACAATGGGGGTCCCATGTACTGACTGCCCAGGAAGTGCCACATTTGGGGCCAAACTCTGATAGCACTTCTGTGACCTCAGTGAAGAAATGAATGCTCACAGAGATGCACTGACTTGTCCATGGTCATAGAGGTAGGAAGAAGCACAAAGCCAGCATTCAAAAGCAGGCCTGACCCTGAGCACATTTAACCACAGACTACGTGTTCTTGAGGAGAGGCCTTCTACGTCACCGCAACCCGACCTCCACTGCTTCTTCACTCCAGGCTTCACGATTTCAGAGAACTATTCCATTACCTATCTGGACATGATCTGAACCAGACCTGGAAGTCCTTCTGTTTATATTCTTCCTCAGCCCCCGTGGTCAGAATGTCTCCCTCATAAATCCCCTTCTCCGTGCTCCCATCACTGTCCTAGTTCAGGCCACTCCTGTCTCTTGCATGAGTTGCTTTGTGGCTCTGCACTGATTTCTGTGGACCATCTTGCCCTCTCTTCTAATTCACCACCCAGGTTGCAGTCACAGTAATCTTTCTTAGGGGTAAATCTGATGGAATGTTACTCGGAAATAAATAGGAACCAATTACTAACACATAAAACCACACGTATGAATCTCAAAAGAATTATGCTGAGTGAAAGCAGTCAGAACATACCATATGGTTTTTGTGTGTGAAACTGCACAAAGGCAAACTTACCCCCAGTGAGACAGAGCAGGTGAGAGGTGCCCAGGAAGGGGAGGGGAAGGGGCCTGGCTGCAATGGGGAACGAGGGGGCTCTCTGAGGATTGAAAGCAATGCTCGCTCTCAAGTGTGGCCGTGATTATACATGTTAAAAACACAGTAACTGCACATTCAAAAGGGGTATGTTCTACTGTATGTAAATTACACCTCTATAAATGTGGTTTAAAAATGTAAATCTGGCCCTGACTGGTGTGAGGTATGGATCAATGGTTTGGGCATCATCCTGCAAACTGAAAGGCTGCTGGTTCAATTCCCAGTCAGGACACATGCCTGCATTGTGGGCCAGGTCCCCAGTTGGGGGTGTGCAAGAGGCAATCAATCCATGTCTCTCTTGCACATTGTTTCTCTCCCTTTCTGTCTCCCTCCTTTCTCCCTTCTCTCTAAACAAACAAACAAACAGCTTAAAAAAGAAAATCTGTCACTTTCTTACCTACCTGGTAAGCAGGGGTGTCAAACTCATTTTCACCAGGGGCCACACCAGCCTTGCAGTTGCCTTCAAAAAGCCAGAATAAGTCTAGGACTGTATAAATGTCACTACTTCTTAACTGTTAAGGAGTTGAAATTACGTTCGGCCCTTTGAAGGCAACTGTGAGGCTGATGTGGCCCCCGGTGAAAATGAGTCTGACGCCCCTCTCCTGAAGGATAAATGCAAACTCCTGAGCCAGGCACCCAGCACTCTCCATGAGCTTGTCACAGACTGTCTTCCAGGGTCAGCCCTCACCAATTCTTCAAGCTTGGCCTGTGCTGTGCTCCATGCCCCTTACCTGACAAACGCAGTTACCTTCAAGTTGCTGAATAAGCTTCATGCCCCTAGGGAGCTTTCACTGACCACCTGTCCCACGTTGGACTGGAGCACTTCGTCCCCATGTCCCCATTGCACCTCGTGCTTACCTCCCTTGCAACACTTCCTGCAGTATCACAACTATTATTTATATGTCTCCAGGTCTTATACCTAAGGCACTAAAAGACTAAGTCCAACTCCTCTACAGAGGAAGCATCTTAGGATCAGGGACTCAACTATACTTACGTCTGTTTCTCCAGTGTCTAGCACCAAGGCACTCAGTAAAGCGTTGCTGAATGATTAAATGAAGGACTCAACGTGTGCAAACAAAACCGGCCTTGCTCCTCAACCCGAAGACCCCCACTGACCCAGGGACCTGCTCAGTGTGGGATGGGCCTGACTAATGGACCAGTATCTCTCCCTGCAGAGAGCCCTCAGGACCACCCAGTTTTCTCACAAGAACTTGTTGGGTCCCCCAATGCTTGCATATCATAGTTAAATAAGGACTTCAGCGGCACAAGTGGCAGTGGGTGCCATTGGCAGGATACTTCCTCCACAGCCCCACTCCCACCTCTCCAGCCACCCCCCACAACCTTTGGCAACGTCCACTCACTCACCAGGCATTCCAGAAGACGAGCCGGGCGGGCAATGACAATCATCAGTTTTTTCACCAGCTGCATCACAAACGCCACCTCTGAACTCTCTGAGCGCTCATGAGCCTATAAAGACAAAGGCCCCTTAGGCAATCCATTGGCCCAGTGTGGCTGAGCTAAGTGGGACAGGGCTGGATGAAGCTGCACTATAGGAGGAAACACTTTGGTAGTGTGGAGAGCTCTGCAAAGCCAAGAACTCCAAGAAAACCATAGGGCTGCTCACTGGGAACCATGGGAGTTTTAGAACCCTACATGACACCAAGGAATGTCACAGAGACACATTGCTTTACCCGCTCCTCCAGATATCAGCTTAAGGGGCAACATTTAGTGAAACCTTTCTGAGTGTTTAATTTCCACCCCAGACAGACAGGAATAGAAAGACTTCCAAGCAGGAGAGTCAAGTGACCAGATAGGTGTTTTAGAAAGACCACTCTGGCTGGAGTGTAGATGATGCACTAAAGAGGGCAAGCTTGAGAGCCGGAAAACCCATTAACAGCCTATTGCAATGATGTTACTGTAGATAGAGGGCCCTGAGGAGTCTCCCCGACTGGCCAGGATGGGATGGGGAGGTTCTCGCACTGACTGCACTGACCGCACCAAGAGCTAGAGAGATGAATAGATAAGGCCTGAGTACACCAAAAGCTAGTGGGATGATTGGATAGAGGAAGAAAGCCCTCCCTCCCTATCCTTGTAAGAACCATGGGCTTGAGCAGGAAGGGGGATGGTCTTTGAGACGGGAGCTCACCATTCTCCCAGGCTGGCATCTGAATAAACCTCTTTCCTTCTGCACCAGAACCTGTCTCACGAGTTTGGTTTTTGCTGCCACAGGCAGCTGCACCTACTTTGTTCAGTTTTAATAATGCAGATGAAAAAGGCACAAATCCAGCCGATAAGAATGGAAAGAAATGGACAGAGTGGGGCCATTCTGTCTTCCACTTCGGGGGCGGATGAGCAGGAGCAGAAGATACTGCAACTACAATTTTAGGGGGATTTCAGCGAACCCATAAACAAAATAGGAACTAGAAGAAGATAAGCAGTTTAGGTGAGGATAGGTAGAGAACATAGTACATTTGGTTTTAGAGAAAAAGTAGGTAGGCAAAAAAAGAAACTTTCGGACTTGAAGAGCTCGCGGCACTTTCTCGGGCATTTGCTCAGCCTAGAATCCTTCCTCTTTCCTATGGGATCTGCTCTCCCTTCTAAGAGCCACGTTTGTGTGGTATCACCTTTCCCCCACCTCCAACAGCTGTCCAGCGTGGACTACTTTCCCAGGGATTAAAAATGGATGGAAAGGCAACTGTTGTTATTAGTGTGGCAGACTGTATCACCTACCCTTGGGTGAAAAGGGACGGCCATATCCACTGCAGAGACAGAGAAGCAGAAGCACAGAGAAAAACAGAGCCGAGAGAGGGGGCCGAATGCTTTCTGGGCTTTCAGAGGTTCTGATTGCTAGTGCTGGTCCCTTCATAAGGCCTGGTTGCATTTTTGTCTTTACTTCTCCAAGACCCATCCCTTTTATTGTTAGTTTCCTTTTCCTGCTTGAGCTACGCTGAGTTGGCTTTCTATTACTGATAACTGAAGAATGCTAACTGATCTGGAAAGGCAAAGTGGAGGAGTCCAATAAGCAGCTGGGAACAGGGATCTGGAGCTCAGGAGAAGAGGGAGGAAAGCAGTCACGTGGGACTTCTCCACATGCGGTGGGAGAACGTGAAGAAAAGAAGGCAGAGATGGGGTGCTCAGGATGGGGCTCTGTGGGACGAAAGCATTCAACGGATGGGTAGAGAAGGAACTTGTGGAGGGGCAGCAAGAACGCAAGACTGGAGAGAACAGTGTCATGACAACTGCAGGGAGGGGGGCGAGAAGATTAAGGAGAAGTGTTCATTGTGTAAAGTTCTGCAGAGAAGTGAAGAAAGGTAGGGACTAAAAGGTGACAGGATATGGCAATTGGCCAGTCTATTCCTTAGTGATTTCTGCCTGAAACAGTTTTAATGGAATGGTGAGAGGGGAATGTAGAAGGTAGAAGATTGAGCAGTGGAAAGGTTGTAAGGAAAGAAATAGCAAATGAGGACCATCTGGAAAAAAAAAATGGCTATGAAATGAAAAGAGAGGCTGGGCACTTGGTGAAATCTTGTTTATTCCTTTAAGACTTATCCCAAACATCAACTCTGGGAAGCCTCATTGAAGTCCCTCTCACCCAACCCCCTCCCCCGCACACGAGAAAAACAAGAACTAACTGCTCCCTTTTCTGTGTTCCCCCGGCTTGTTTGCTCACACCACACGGTACCATCGTGTGGTCTATAATTAGTTGTGTCTCTGCAGCTACACTGCAGGGCCTTGTGAATAGAGACTCTGGGTCTTCTTTCTTATCTTCCCTCACATGCTAAGCCTGGCATAGTGCCTCCTAAGTAGCAGATGTTAGTCAATGTTTGTTGACCAAGTGTTTGAAATGTATGATCTTAAGCTCTGGAATAAGCCAAATCTGGTGTGGGGGTCTGGCTCTGCTACTTAAGAAATGTGTTTTCTTGGGCTGACATAGACCCTTAAAGCTTCGATCTCCTCATCTGTAGATTTAGGGAACAGTATTTTCTTTACAGTATTGTTTAAAGATTAAGTTGGATAAATTAAAACTAAATGAGATGATGTAGTATCTAGCATGCATAAAGTGTTCTATAAATGACAGTAATTTTATTATTTTCAGTCTAAATCTTATGCCATTTCAATTTAAATCCATTCAGTGATTCCCCATGGCCTTCCTGTTAAACTCTAAGCTTCTCACAAAGCCCTTCAACTTTTGCTGCCTCCCCACCCCATGCCTGACGCCTCACATTCATCCACAACCTTGCCCTGCAGGTATCCTTCACTCCAGCCACGCCAAACTACTTTATCTGTAGTCCCTGGACTGCACCAAGGTCCTTTACCCCTCTGAGAGGTTGTTTACACCGTTTCCTCCGTCTAGTAAACCCCTACTCACTCCTCAAGACTCAGCTTTTCCTGAACTCTCCGTGTAGCACCACCACATCCTCCTCTGTGCTCGGAACTGACGTCTAATCAGAGCTGTCAATCACACTTACTATATTAAACACAAGTGAGATAATTCCACGCAGCATTCAGTGCAGTGGCTGGCACACAGTACATTTAATAAATGATAGCTGTTATTTTTGCTGTAAGTATGTGTTGATAGCTCTGTAACTCTAGTCACCAACTAGAACTTGCAGAGAGCTTTTTCTGCATTCCCGGGGTCCAGCTAAGTAGGGAACAGAGGATACACCAGCTCCATTTTCAGCGCTCTTCCAATTGCACCAAAAACCCAGCCCCTAGGGGCAATGAGTCTGGGAAAATGCCTGAAAGTTTTGGGCAGTGCTCTGGCTATAGCATTTCAGATCGACCTTAGATGCGCAAGGAACCTTGGCAGACACAGTGTTGATCCTTTAACTGATACTGCAAATTCCCGATTCCTACCCACTACAGGAACTGTTAGACAGGTATTTTTGAACAGAAACAAATAGCTGCCAATAATTTTCATTGGTTTAAATTTAAGTATTCTTTTGAAATCAGAAAAAATATTTTCATAGAAGGAAGTACTTTCTCATCTATTAAATCAAAACTTCCTCTCTATAACTCTTGCTCAAGGGCTAGTAAACCTTTTAGGGGACAGAGGGCAATCTTGCTATCTGTTATATATGAGTCTTCCAATATAAATCTTCCAATATAAATAAATATATATATAATATATAAAATTTATTTATATATATGATATATATTATAAATATATATCATATATATAAAATATATAAATTTTTATATATAATATAAATTTATATATATAAATATATATAAATTTTCCAATATTTGACAGTGATAATTATGATCCTCTTTAGACATCCTTTCTCTAGATTCAACTATTTCCTACATTAAAAAAACTACCTGATCCTAATTTCTAGACTGATACACTGAAGTCCTGTTTGATCATTATCACTCGGTTCTCAGCTCAGCTGGTGCTACACCGGAGCAAGGTCATGGGTCTGGAGGTAATAGGGGTCTGGACTGGGAAATACTCTAGTGACAGGAAGAGCCCCGAGGGCACAGGCACGTCTCCTCTCCCTGGAACTGTACTAACGGTGAAATAGGGGAGAACTGCGATCTCAGCGGGAAGGCATCTGCCCACCTTCACGGAGAGGCTGACAGGAGAGCGAGTGCCCGAGCGTGGAGCAGCGGTTAGGTACTCAGCGTCTGCCTGGTGTCCACCACCTCTGGATTACTTCACCTTCAGCCTCTCAGAGACTGTTCACACTGGGGAGGCAGGTCTCTCAACACTCAAGAACTTCCTACCACGCAAGTAGAATGTCAGCAAACAGATAAGCCCATTGTGCAAGCCTTGGGCCTGCCTCCCCTTGGCTCAGGAGAAACAGTTTGAAGGCTGTGCTTACACCAGTATTTCTACTAGAAGAGAGCTGCCCGCAGCAACGAGGGCCACTGCACGGCTTGAGTTACAAATCTCCTAGTCAAATATGTATGAGTACTACCAAGTTGGTGTCTTGGGCAGAGTAACTGGAATTACAAGAAGAAAGAGCACACAGAACGGAGTTCTTCTGATACCAAACAGGTTTCCTCAGTGACGGAGGGGACTGAAGAGGAATCTAAGTTCATCAGCACCACACTTCGGGGTGGGCCCTGAGCACCAGCAGGGAGGTGGCAAGCAGGCTGAAAAGACTGGGAACACCATTAATGCCTTAATCTTGGTTTGGGACTACTAATCCACTACCACGTGGCTAATTCACCAGAGTTCCAGTACAAGGACACTCACATCTTGCAGAAGTTTCTCTAAACTCTCTTGAAGTTCGTAGAAGTACTGCGATGTAATGAGGCCACTCCGAGATTTATCCAGGCAGTCTCTGGCCATCTCTATCACTTGATGATGAATAAAGCTCAGGGCTCCATCTGCCAAGGGCAACACGCTGTCTGGAGCGTTGGAGGAAATGAACTCTGCTAGGCGCTCTTCCATTTGTGCTGTGGCCTGGGAATAAAAATAGGAAAAGTGACACTTCCCTTCTAGTTCTAGTTCAGCTGGAGCCAAGCCTGAAGGACCCAGTAACAGGCTAAGGGTGGGATCCGTAGTCCTGGCTTCCCGATGTTCTGTTTGGTGCACCTGATGACTGGAGACCTGCAGGGGTCACCTTCACGTCAACTCAGACATTGTAATCGAGGCCCTCTCTCACCTGGCCTTGTCTGCGCCCCCAAGCCTGGGTGGGCGTGCTCTTCTGCTCTCAGGACACTGAAATGTTTGTCGTTCTCATGCCTCTGTCCGTTAATGCTGCCCCGTGTTTAGCTTTCTCCCGCAAACTCCTATGACTCCTGCTAATCTCATTTCAAGCATCATCTCTCCTCTGGGAAAGTTTCTGATTCCTTCAGGCAAACCAGGGTTTTCTTTCCTCTGTGCTTCTACTGGCCCTCTCAGCTGTGTAAACTTAGTGAATGGACACCAACAGCTTCCAAACCTTCTGAACTGGGAACTTCAAGTCAGAGAAGGTTTGATTTATCACTTGACCTCAGGACCCAACTGAGCCAAGCAGATGTTCAGAGAACGCTAACTGAATGTGTGGACCTGCCTGCTCATGGGTCCGGATTCCCAGCAGAGCAGAATGGGAGTCTGGCTCAGAGGCCTCCTGGGGTGCTAACTGCACAGTCACGTTAAAATGACAAACAGACATCAGTTAACACGTTCCTAGCTGCCTATCTAGGTCTTGGTGTTTTTCCTTTGCCACCAGGTGGTGATTTCTGATTTCCAGTAAGTGTTTAGGGGTGTGTGTGTGTAAACACACATATACATATGTAAGCACATATACCACACACACATATATACACGTATATATGGGATGCATGTGGAGTGATGGGGAGAGGGAGCAGGAGAGGAGAGAAGAAATGGGAAAGAATTCTAACACATTGTCTCTAACGAAACAGTCCCTCTTACACGAGTGACTTGGAGACGTGCACACGAAACACAAATGTGCAATGCTAGAGTGGCAACACAACACCAAATGCATGAGGAGGAGGAAACATGTGAGATGCATTTCTAAACACTACACACACCCAGACTTCTTTATAAAGGAATAAGCATAACAAAGTGATTCCTTTTGCCCCTCTTCCTCGCTCTTATTCTTCATGCTAGCCGGCACAGACCACAGGGCACGGGGCAGCAGAGAAACATGAGCTACTACTTACTGAGTGCTCACTATGTTCTGGGCACAGTTAGGAAAGCTTAATGTTTGTCAATCTTCACAAACTTCCATGAGACAGATACTCTTATTATCCCAAATCACAGGTGAGGCAAGTAAAGCTCAGAGAAGTTAAATACTCTGTACAGCGTCATACAGCCAGTAAATGGTAAAAGCAGATTTGAATCCAGTGAGTCTGGTTCCAGAACCTGTGCTCTTCTTACTGCTCTGCTTCACTATGTGTGTCAAGAGGGAAAGCATAAAGGTTTCACACCTTCGCCCTCAGCCACCCATGAGTGTCCAGGAGGCTGTAGCCGAGTCTAGAAAAGGGACACTCTCTGGAGGGGCAGGGAACCACCCATGGCAGACTCTAGACACAGACGAACAGGTAGACCCAAGAAGGTCTGAACAGGGGATGCAGGAGACTGAGGACTCCCGCTCCCTGCCGTCATGGACGGGGAGCCCACGCCAGTGCCCTGGCTCTCCGTCGGACAGAGCTGGCCGTCTTCAACAGAAACAGGGCCCATCCCTAGAAGGCCAGGTCAGAGTGACAGGCATGCAGTGTTCAAAAAGAAACACAAATGGGAAGCAAGGTCCTGGCTCCACAGACAGGGAGGTTTGTGGCCAAACTGTAGAGTTGTGAAGATCATTTCTCAGTTATCTCAGGATGGTATCCTACTTTCCTCCCTTAGTGTCTTCCTGCTTGAAAACACAGACCCAGCGGTGAGTAAGCAGCCCTGAGACCCGTTGCCCACGCGACTGCTCCTTCCGGCCAGCTTCCCACCAGCCCAGCACATCTGTCTGTGCACTCTTTTGTGCCCAGCAAGGAGGTGCTGCTCATGAAATCTGTACCAACGAAGGTGCTCTTGGAGGGCAAACAAAGGGGGAACCCTGACTCATAGGTCCTGATGCGCTTGGTGAGAAACAAGGTCTCCAGTTCTTTCTTTCCCACTAATACATAGTGGATTCCTTCCTGACATTCCCTTCCAGATAGCTCGCTCTCCAAGGAGTGAAGAAATAGAGGCCCTACAAGTACAATCCCTAAACTCACAGCCCTCTGTGCCTTCCTCTTCCCCAACAGTCTGGAAGCCCTTGTGCCTGCATCCTCCTCCTCCTCTGGTGCCTTCTGCTCTTCTTCTTGATTACCTCTGGAGACAGCACCCCATCCCCTCACCCCAGTCTCCCCGTTGGGGCTGACGGTAGGCCGCCATCCTCAGAGGCATTACCAATCTCCTTTAGAATGGATCTTACCTTGGGGAATCTTTCTTTGTATACATGATTCATCATTATTATTTCACTGTCAAAGGAAACTGGGGACCGTCCAGGACTAAATAAGAAACAAACAATTGTGTTACTTTGGTGCCATGAAGTTTGGAGAAAAAAGATGGCCATCCCCAGAACCCTGCCCTCCCACTGTCCGCAGCACCCACACGCTCCCACCTTAATGAGGGCTGCGGTCTAGAGCCTTCCTTATTCCTGGAGCGAGCTGCTAGCACACCCTCGGCTCAAAATGATGGCACCTGCAGCCGGGCTACCTTCCCGTAAGAAGCCTGGCCCTTACGAGACCTCTCTGCCAGGGCCTGAGAAGGCCTACGGTGCAGGAGGCCAGTCCTGAGCCTACTGGTTTCTAGGGTGACCTCCCTGGGAACAGGCCTCTTTGGGTCTTCTTCACTTTGGCCAGTGGAGTCAGGTATACTCAGCATGTTTTAGGCATCACATAAAATCAAACCACCACCAAAACACCAGAGAAAGACAGTATATACCTGTATATTTTTCCAAACAGGCAATGGGCTAACTCAGGCTCTGACCTGGGGCACAAATGAGGCCCCGACAGATGGGGCACAAACAGATGATGTATTATAGAATTGCATACCTGAAGCCTATATAATTTTATTAAACAGTGTCAGCCCAATAAATTCAATGTTTTTTTAAAGCCATGCTCATTTTAATTTACACCCCCTTCCTTCACCTGGAATTTTGGCATAGCTTTACCAGCTAATACCAAAGAGAAGAGCCAATTAGTAATCTAGGAGGAGTTCACAGATAAAAAAACTGCTCAGGTGTGGTTAGATGAGCCCAAGTTATTCAGGAAAATGAGACAGAGTCAGATGGGCATGTAAATCTCCTTGTGAAATGCCTTCTTTCTCGAGCCAGCCACGTGAGTCTTCAGCAGCAACTTTCTTAGCTGGCCTTGTTCATACACCACAGCCTCTGAGATCTGCAGCCAGGTAACCATCAGAGTAGACACCACTATTCTCCTGTTACTGAATGGACTCTACAGTGCATTTCTACTGCTAACCACTTTCAAAGGGAGAAAGAGGGGGACCACTAGACACCTTTGTCAGGTGTCTCTTGGGGAGGTGAGTTGAGCTGTACCCAAAACCAAAAAATCTTGAGCTTCACTTCACTTCAAGCTGTGCCAGTGTACTATACCAGGGGTTGACAAACTATGGCCCAAACACTAATTCTGTCCCATTGCTTATATTTGTACATCAAATTTACGTAATGTCTGAGGATGCTTTCACCCTACAACAGCAGAATTAAATAGTTGCCATAGATATGGTATTGTCTGCAAAATGTAAATTATTTACTATCTTGCCTTTATAAAGGAAGTTTGCTGACTCCTGTGCTGTGCACACAAGTTGAGCCCCACAGGTCCTGGGGCTCACTGAGCAGAGAGCACCCCTTACCTGAGGCTGCGGGAGCGGGGTCGCATGGCTGGGGACTGCCGTCCCTCCTCGTCTGGCACACTCTCTGTGCTGAAATGCTTTGTCAAAAAGTGCAGCTCATCAGCTGTGGGCTGGAAGGGCAACTGGTGTAGCTTCTCCTGCGAGGAGCATGATGACTAGAGGGGAAAACGTTTAAAAAACAGCATTAAAGGCATGTCTGAGGACAGTCCAGGAATGAAGAAGAACTGAAAAAGGTCAGGGCTGTCCCAGTCGATGTGAACCCAGAGTCAACCCAAAGTAGGCATTCTTTCCATGGCTCCCGTTAGCCTCCACTGTGCATGATCCTGTTCACCTCTACCCTGCAGGCCCCCAGACCTCAGAAAGCCAAGACACTAGAGTCCTTCACAGGCCTGGGAGAGAATGGGACCCAGAAGGTCATGTGATGTGAGAGCACTACCCAGAAAGCTTCTTTAGGTTCTTCTGCATGGAGCCTTGGCGCTGACTGAAGCTTTTGGGTAGTTGGGATGGCAAGTATTTGATAAATCATGCTTTTTGGCTTGGAAGATTGGTATGCCCGGCCTACAAATGCTGTCCCCTGATGATTTTCCCTTCCACAACCCTGGGAGAGCCCTCAGGATGGTCCAGCAATGTTTCATTTCAGCCGTTATCCAGAGGACAGGTGGCTTTGCTGAGGCTGTGCAGGTTGTTCCCATACTCTGGGGAACAAAATCTAGGCAACAAAATCCAGCAGGGGAGAAAATGACTTTAGATCTAGATTACTTTTAGATTTCTAAAAGATCAGACCTGACCTGAAAACAATTAAGAATTCTAAACATTGCCCAGTGACTGAGATTCTAGACAAGAGCCCACTGCCAATCACAACGGACTACTGAGGGAGGCGAGCGGTGTGGCGCTGGGCATTCCATAGGTGCAGCCACGGCTGCGGCAGCTGGGATCAGGGAACCCTCCCCTCACCTGACAAGGCTGGCTAAGAGACCAGACAAGCCTAACACCACTGGCCCAACTTCTGTTCACCCACTGATACAGGATCTGGGTTGAAATAGCTAAATCCATGTAGTCAAAACTTCAAAACCACACTAAGAGAACTTTGTTGCTAATGTGAGCCTCAATACCAAGTGAGAAATTAAAAAGAAAAAAAAATTTTTTTGCTAACAGTGTATACTTCTCTCATGGAATGCTGTAATATATGAAGTTCTGAACAGCCAGTGAAAGGTCTCCACAGGGCTCTGTTTAGGCCACAGTTTTTAATTGATTTGGATAGAAATTTCAAAAAGTATCCTCACCTAACTGCAGCTAACATGAAACAAAATTGGTAAAATATCCCACCAAAATAAGCTGGAGCAATGGATTGAGTCTATTAAAATGTACTGAGCAGAATACATACATATCTAATATATATGACTCTACCTTGAGTCTAAAAAAACCACCTGTTTGAGTAAAAAATTACAGGGAAAGGGGTATTTAGTAAGGAAAGATCAGGCACTTAACAGCTACCAAAAGACCAATGAGATCTTTGGATTAATTTAAGAGTAACATCAAGGTCAAGGGAGGAAGCAATAGCCCTTTTACCTTCCTGGGATTCATGAACACAGACAAGCTGAGCTGAGAAGACCTGAAGAGTGGCAGAAGAGTCAGAAACGGGTCACCCAGTCAGTGGCCTGATTCTACATGGCCTGCAAAGTCTAAAATGCTTACCATTTGGCCCTTCACAAAAAAGTTTCCCAACCCTGTCATCCTAACTTTAATTAAGAGTTGCTTAATGAGGAAGATTCATTTTAGGGTCACTTCTGCATGGTAGAAATTAGGACATTTGTTGCGTTTTTACAGAAGGGCTCAGCTTTTTTGCTCAGACACATCACATAACAATCATCCTTCTGTTCTTTTTTGAAAGGAAAAGGTGAAAAAGGAGAAGAAGGGAATACCAAGCCTTTGGGACATCGAAGGGGTCATCTGCTCTTAGCTGCAGTCCTAGAAATAAGGCGGGAGAATAAGGGAGCCACGCTTAGAGCCCCACTGCCCGGTCTCACTGGCAAAGCAGAACTCCCTCCTTGAGGCTGCCTGATTCCACTAGGAATCACTGATGCCCAGAGAGCACCCTGGCTAATTCTTTCCAACGGCACTTTTGTTTTTTGAATGGATCTGACTATGGCTGTAAACAGCCACCAGCCCTCTGTACCACTCAGCCTTATCCCTAAGCAACTTCTTTGTGTTTGGCTTTAGAGGAAAAGGTGAGAATCATTTTGCAACACTGTAGGGACAGACAACAATAATTTGTAGGGAATTATTTCCTAAGAATGAGGCGGTACAGTCACAGATTTGGCTACTTACTGAGACAGTAGAGCTGGGAGTGTTGGTTCCATAGCCGGAAGAAGGTAAAGAGGCCAAAGACCAGCGCCGCCCATCGGTCCTACATGAGAGAAGACTATTAGGCAGTTTCTACAGGACCCCACCCTGAGCCGTGGACCTGCCCAGCTTTCCACCAGTATTGTTTTGGGTACTTGGTTCACTTTCTTCTCTCAAGACAGCACTGCTTAGCCTAGTCCATGCTTTCACATCTCTCCCCTACACGGGCCTATTGTGCGTTTTCCACCGCAAAGACAGACTTCTCTGACTACAGAGGAGTTCGTTCGTGACTTTGATTACTCTGATGACAGAAGAGAACACCTGTTATGTGATACTGTCATTTTGGAGTAAAAATCTTTAAACTCCCAACTCAATCACTTTGGAGAAGCAATGACAGAGGATACCAGCTAAGGCATCATGACAAGGAGAGAACTGCCACTGATGCGGTTATTCCCTCTTGTGAAGGGCTCTCCGGTCTTCCCTAGGCCACTGGGTTGACAAGCATCTGGGTCTCAGTATGAATCAATCAGTGGCTAATAATCAAAGGCTACCTAGGATCCAGTGGGACCCACAAAACCAGTGCTTGAGAATGTGTGCCAAGGAGTGCCAGTAAGTTATGAAACAGGAGTGAGGTGGCATAGCCTTGGTTGTGTATGAGGCTTTGGGGCCAGGCTTTCTGCTGCTCTTGAGATGATGCACCCTTACGGTCTCATCATAGAGAACCACAGTATGTGCCTTACATATATATATAAAAGAGAAAGATCAAGCAGCTATCTGGTTTGAAGCTTTTATAACACGGACAAGTGATTCCTTCCTGGACTCTGGGTATGCTGTAACACAACTGTTCTTTCTTGTGGAGCTTGGGCGCATAGCCTGCTCTGGTTGAAGTTTAAGAAAAACTTCTTTGCTGCTACCCACAGAACCTTAGAACATAACAGAGGACCTTTAAGAGTTATGTTCAATAACCTCAGTCTCAGAGAAAACACTAAGACCCAGAGATTTGGGTGATTTGTTTCAGGCTTCACAGCTAAGGGGGGTGAGGGAAGAACAGAGAGGAAGGAGAAAAAAGAGGAATCAATCTTTTTAGGGCTTCTTCTTTTGAAGTCCCCTCCCCTCCCCAATACCTAGCAGCTTTTCCTCCTACGTTCTGTAAGGGGCAGCCCCGGGTTCCATGCCGCATGCACATGACTCCAACTCCATGCCACCCAGGCAGCCAGCTCTGCTGGAACCTAGTCTCTGAGGCAAAGAAATGTCCAGGAGACTGCTCAAACATGAGCTTCTTTCCGACCTCTCTGCTGAGTCCTGAGTCCTGGGAGCTCTACACAAGAGAGCAGGTCAATTCCAGGAAAACAAAGCTCAGCAAAGATGAACTAGTGTAACTTGGGGGCGGATTTCTGGGACCCTTATCAAATACACCTTTTCACAGGTGATTTTTCCTCCTTTAGTTAGAAATGGAAACCAATTGCATGGCCACTTTTTAAACAACAACAACAACAACAACAACAAAAACTGAAGAGCAGGGACCACCAGAGTCGGAAAGAAATGCCACTAAAGGATGTTTTCATTTCCTCTGCCTGGTCATCTCTCTGGGCAACTGAGCAGAGTTGTGGGAATGAGGGTGACTTGTCCTTAGACTCAGAAGCCTTAAACTATTTAGCAATTCCTGCCTCCAAACATGTGAGCTCTGAGCCTTGGTTCCAGCAGGTGGAGGGGGTTCTCTTAGGGCCTCTCTGATAGTTACAAAAGGCCAAATGTTTCAACCCACAGCCAGAGAAGACTCGTCACAATCAGTTCTCACCACGCACAAAACCATTTTGTCTGGCCATGCATAGCAGTTTCCCAGCCCCTCGCCCCACCACGTCCGCTATTACCTGTCTGCTCTGTGGCCATGGCTGTAGTGAAAAGACATACATTGTAATGAGAATCAAAGGAATCTGGACAGACTGATTTGTTTGGCCCCTGGTATTTGGTCAAGCTTGGCAAAGGTGGTCTTTCTGTTTAGAAACTTGCGGAGTTTGAAGTAAAATTGTAGGGGTGACAGGTCTATCGTTAGCATGCCATTAAATCTGTGTTTTGTGTGATATTCCAAATTAATGTGATCCCATAAGGCTCAAGCCTAACCTCAGTAATCAAGGAAACACAATTTTTAGGCACTTTGTTTGGCAGGGTTGAATCTTCCTTCTCAGCCCACCGATACTTAGCTGCTTCCCCTACTATGTCCTATTATAAGAGGACAGCCCAGGGTTCCATGACCCATGCCTATGTCTCAAACTTAAAACCACCTAGCACACACCTGTTTGGATCTCAGTGGTAAAAACTGGCTGACCCTACTCCAAAAGCCCAAGGAATGAAGCAGATACATGGGCACCAATGGAACATACTATCTCATCTGCCTGGAATGGTCTACACACCTGTGTCCTCATTCCCAGCATGGCAGGCTCTTTCTTATCCTTCATGTCTTAGCTTGAAAGTCAGTCCTCCAGAGAGGCCTTCTATTGTCCACCCAGTATAGATTCTCCAGCCCCATTCCCCTCCTATACTTCCATGTAGCATCATGTTCTTTCCCTTCATGGTACTCGTCACAGTTTTCAGCTATGTATTTGCTTGCTCATTATTCTTCCCCACCACTCATTCAGTCAATAAGCACCGACTGAGTGCTCATTACAGACCAGGAGACACGGTTTTCAACATATTAAGGTATCTCTATTAAAGGTACTTTCATTCTGGTTGAGGGGAAACAGAAAACAAGCCAATAAGAAAATGTCAGGTACTGGACAGTACTAGCTTGAAGATTAAAATGGATCATTTGATGAAGAATGACCCACTGGGTTTCCTTGGTATTGCGTGGTTCGGGAAGGCCTCTGCGGAGTTCACATTTGAGACATTTAAGATGAGAAATGAAAGACAAGAAATGAGAAATGAGTTAACTAGGTGAAGACCCGAGGGAACAGCATTATTTACAATGGGAACAACAGCTCCACAGACTCTTCTAAATCTACTAAGTTTCAAGAAAGGAGGCATTATATCTATATAACTAAGTACCCAGTACAGTGCCTGGGAATACTGGTGCTCAGTAAACATTTACTGAGTGAGTGGGAAGTCACTCGATGCCACTTATCCAGATCAGTCACAGGCCTTGCTGTCCCAGCTCAGACCTAATCTGAGGCTACAGTTCAAACATACTCAAGGCAGGGAGTTTGGGATGAGTAAGACTTTCCAGCTGGGCTGGAAAAGCAAATGTACCAATACGGCATATTTGTATACTGTCACAGGCTCCTACTTAGATCCTCAGTTAACTAACTGGAGGTCACACAGAGGAGGAGAGACGAGTCCTTGAGGCAAACTCAGACATTTGTGCAGAACAAGGTAACTAGGTCAGAAGGGGCACTGGCACCCAAATCAGTCACCAAACTTCTCCCAACCTGTCCATGTCTTTTCAGCTATACAGAACCCTAAAGAGGAAAGGGGTGATTTGCTTCTGTGTTGTCATTTAAATAGTGTGTTACCATTATTTCAAAGAATCTGCTCGTCTTCTACTATCTCTTTTTAAAAAGTAGTCTAAGTATAGAATTTGGGTCAAGCTGTGTACACCATTCTCTATTCATGAAATCTGTTTAGCATATAAGGTTATTTTTTCCAAATCTGGAGCCATGATTTTTTCAAAGTCTTAATGCCAGAGACTGACTCTAACCGAGTACTTTTTAGAAAATGTTCCAAAAAATAAATCATTTGTCTGTGGAGTCTTGGCATGTGGTCTGGACGGACTCACTTCAGTCAGCTCGGTACTTCTCCAGAAGCCAGAGGACACCCTGGCAATGGGCTGAGCCGTCAGGCCTGCTCTCATGTGCCAGGGATCAGCTTCTATCGCTTCCTGAGACTTGAAATGTGAGGAAGAATATAAGGACAGTCTGTAATGCACCAAGTCTTTCTAAATCATAGGAAAATAAGTCAGGACCTGGTCATCTCTTTATCCCCAAGGATAGGAGGCATATAAGGCCCGTTCTAGCTCCTTGGGACGGGCTGAGTTAGAGGAATAAAAATATATCTCTGGGTTCTCCTGGGAAGAGAACCCATTTCCCCCCATCATTGATCACGCTAGGAATAGCTCTCAATCAAGAGTATAATGTTTTGGCATAACCCCTCAGGAAAATCCAGGACATGTGCTTAGAATTATAAAAATAAATCTACGCCTAATATTGATTTACCCACCCAAACATTCCAATGCAATACCTACAGCATAGAGAAAGCAAAACTTAAACCTCGGTGAGGAAGGCAGGAAAGAGTTTTGGTAGTTGGTGGCCCAAGGTAACACACTTGGGAGGGCGGCCAGACAGGGAAGCTGATGCTAACGGATGTTCACACAAAAGTGCCTCAGACCAGTCACAGGGGAGGTTTTTCTATCAACTTACCTACGGGCTGGAACAAAGGAAAAGTGGGCGGGTGCATTTGGAGAGAAATTCCGGGGGCTGTCCAAAGGACTGTTACCTGAGGGAAGGAAAGTAAACCTTTTGTGAGGTTTGTTTCAGAGGAGGGTTAAGACAACCTTTAGGGAAGAAATCTGCCCCGAGCATCGCATCGGCAATTAGCACATAGGGTTATTTTTTCAGGCCCACCATTAGTTTAATGATTCTCTTTGTAGAAGATTGTCAGCCCAGAGGTTTCTCCTTTGTTCCCAAGTTGCCTGTAACCATCTCTGTCTCCCAAACATCCATTCTAGATACACCAGTGACTTGCCAATTTCTCGCCCTCCTAGGAACACCTCAGGTTCCAATATGCCTAGCTGAGTTAACTCAACTTCCAATGGCTTGAAGAACTCATTCAGTACAGAAGGTATGACCAAATACTCAAACACTCCTCAAAGGGCACCAGGACTCCTGGTCCACAAGTCTCTTACACATAATCTCTGCACACTGCGTCCAAGGGGCTAACCCAGAAATATGTGTATTTAGCAGAAACTGAAGTTCTCAGGTGGGGACTTAGTACAGCAGTGTTCCTTCAAATAGTCCATACACAAGGCCTCCAGGTCTGCCTAGCAGACTTAGTGTAGGAATTATTCTCAGCTCTTTATTAGTTTTCTCGTGTACCCTATAACTTGCTAACTTACAGCTCAGAAACTTTGAACAAAACTGGGTGCTTTCCTTTGTACTAGTCACAACAGTTCTGGAACTTAAGCCTGCCATACTTCTCTGATGTAACTCCCAGCTGGGGGCTGGTTACTAGGAGTTCGTAGCTGGCAGAAGCTATCAATGTGTTCCTGTCTAAAAGGCCATGATGTGCTCACTACATAGCCAATCCCCATCCACTTCCTTACTTCTGTGCACAACTCTGTGCACCAACATTGGCTATGAGAAACTGCAGCTACCCGGGGGCACGGCAGTTCGGCATGCCTTGGCTTTTTCTTCGACAGTTGATTTCTGTACAGGGTGTGGATGTTCCACGGTACCACGAAGCTGCCCAGTTGCTTTCCATTATCTCCATCCAACAAAGTCTGGTAGCACTTAATATTCTTTTGTATTGACCCAGAAAAAAAAACAGCCTCACAAACAATGCCAAACAACCCAGGTAAAGACTGTGGCAAATATTAACCAATTATATAAAGGTACTCTCTTCGGGGGAACTAATTAAGAAACAGAAGATATATTTGAAACAATGACTGAGAATTTCCTCCAATTAATGTCAGACACCAAACTACAGATCCAGGAAGCTTGGAGAACACCAAGCAGGATTAAATGGGGGAAAAAAAGAAAAGAAAAAGATAAGAATTATACCCAACTTCTCAAAAATCGTGCAAGCAAGAAGAGAGTGAAGTAAAATACTTAGTTTTAAGGGGTGGGAGGTGGGAAACCCCACTAACATAAAATCCTGTACCCTGTAAAATTATTTTTCAGATGTGAAGGAGGAATAAACAATTTTCAAATAAGAATTGAGGGCATTTGTTGCCAGTGAACCTGCCTTACAGGAAATGCTAAAAGTTCTGCGAAAAAGAAAGTACTATAGGTCAGAATTCAGATGCACATACTAAAAAGAATTAGTGGAGATAAAATTAAAACTTTGATTTTTTCATATTATTCAAAATAATAACAGCAACAATGCATTTTATTATGTATGCTTGTGTGTGTGTGTGTCTTGGTTCTTATGTATAAGTGAAATGAACGCCTGCAATGATACAAAAGATAGGAGGGAGTGACACAGGTGGATGGCCTGGCCAACTCCGGAGTAAGTGAGGGGTTGTAGAAAACACCAGAGGTGGCAGAGGTAAAGCTGAGCACAGCGTGTACCACCCCTGGGCTGAGACCTAGAGGGAAAAGCACTCTGACTGCCCTCTGGAACGTGGTGGAAGCAGGAGGTGCAGACCTGCCAGTCTAGCCTAAAAAAAGAATGGGATTGAATAGGGAAACTGGACCCTTCTGGAACACAAGGTTTTGGGGCTGGGAGATTTACATGAAGGGTAGGGAGAAATATGTGGTTCTTCTTCCCCTGGAACCTGCAATCCAGACACGTACCCTGACCAGAAATTGAACAGGCAACCTTTAGCTTTGTGGGATGACGCCCAACCGAGCCACACTGGTCAGGACAACGAAGTCATTTTAAATATAAAGATACAGATAGATTAAAAATAAATAAAGATATATGAACACTAATCAAAAGAACACTGAATGGAGTCGTTATATTAATTTTGAACAGAGAAGACTTCAGAGCAACAAAAGTTATCAGGATAAAGAGGGGCATCACAAAATGATAAAGGGGTCGATACTCCAAGATGACATAACCTTTAATGTGCAGATGCCAATCAACAGAACTTCAAACTGTTAGAATGACAGGGAGAGATGACAAATCCACTTTTATGGTCAGAAACTTCAGTGCCCCTCTATCAGAACTTGACAGATCCAGCAGGCAGAAAATCAGTAATGACAGAGTTGAACTCTATAGCACCATCAGTCAACTGGATATAAATGACATCTATAGACTACTTCATCCAATGACAATAATATATACATTCTTCACAAGCTCATATGGAATATTCACCATAACAGTCCACATTCTGGGCCATAAAACACACCTTAACAAATTTAGAAGAACAGCAAGCATACAATGTCTGCTTTCAAATGAAATTAAACTAGTAATCAATAACAGAAAGATAACTGAAAAATCCCAAAATACTTGGAGATTAAACAACACACTGAAATAACACATGGGTCAAAGAAGAAATCTCGAAAAATTAAATAATATTTTGTACTAAATCAAAGTGAAAATACAACTTATCAATATTTGTGGAATGCAGCAAAACACAGCTTAGAGAGAAATTTACAGCATTAAATGCATGTATTAGAAAAGAGGACCTAAAATTAGTCATCTAAGCCTCTTCCTGAAGAAACCAGAAGAAGGACCTAGCTTGTGTGGCTCAGTGGACTGAGTGCTGGCCTGTGAACCAAAAGGTCACTGGTTTGATTCTCAGTCAGGGAACACACTTGGGTTCCCCATTTAAAAATGGTCCCCATTTAAAAATGGGCAAAAAATCTGAACAAGTATCTCATCAATGAAGATATACAGAGGGCAAGTAAGCATATGAAAAGATGTTCAACATCAGATGTCATTAAAGATATGCAAATTGAAACAAGCAGGTACCACTACAAACCTATTAGAATGGTCAAATTCCAAAACACTGACAGCATCAAATAAATGCTGGTGAGGTTGCAGAACAACAGAAATGCTCACTTGTTGCTAGTGCGACTACAAATGGTACAGACACTTTGGAAGACTATTTAGCAGTTTCTTTCAAAACTAAGCATACCCTTAACCATATGATCCAGCAATCATGCTTCTTGGTATTTACTCAAATGTACTGAAAACTTAAGTCCACGCAAAAATCTGCACACAGATTTTTACATCAGCTTTCTTCATAATTTCCAAAAATTGGAAGTCACCAAGATGTCCTTGACTAGGCAAGTGGGCAAACTGGTACATCCAGACAAGGGAATATTACTCAGAGCTAAAAAGAAATGATCAAGCTGTGATAAGACATGGAGGAATCTTAACTGTATATTACTAAGTGAAACGAACCAACTTGAAAAGGCCACATACTGTCTGATTCCAACCACTATAAGACATTCTGGAAAAGTCAAAACTGTGGAGACAGTGAAGAGATTAGTGGATGCCAGGGGCTGGGCAAGGGAGAAATGAACAGGCAGAGCACAGAGAATATTTAGGGCAGTGAAACTATCCATATGATAATACACTGGTAGATACATACCATTATACACTTGTCAAAATCCATAAAATATACAAAACCACCAAGAGTGAACCCTAATGTAAACTATGGACTTGGGATAATAATGATGTGGCAATGCAGGCTCATCAGTTATAACAAATGTGTCACTCTGGTTCAGGATATTGGTAATAACTGTGCGTGTATGGTGAGAAGGAATACGGAACCCCCTGTCCTTTCTGCTCAATTTTGCTGTGAACCTAAAACTACTCTAGAAAGCAAAGTTTATTAATTAAAAAAATAACAACAATTAACTAGAAAGGTTACATTTCCAGAATGGCTAAGTGCCTCCTGAACTGACTTACTGTATTTGTAATCCACTTATATATAGTAAATAATTAATATTGAACTGAACTGTGTAAAATAAGTGGGCTAATTTCAAATCAATAGGTCTCATATTATTTAACAGATTCCAGACTTTAAAGTGAAATGACAAAACCATTGAAAATCCTGAAGACCCAAATACCAGGATCTGTGAGATCTGAGGACATAACTGATGTGAAGTTGGATCTGTATGGAACAATCAGTGCTGTCTTTCTCACCAGCTGGGTAAGTGTGGGGTCTACATCCATGAACTAGGCTTTTAAATCAATTCTTCCTCCCTTGATCTGAGGTCTGCCTGGATTTTCTGCAGCGATTTGAGGAGAAATAATAATGATAGCTAACATTTATGATGATAACTAAGCATGTTACAGATATTAACTCAAAGCTAGAGTCCACAGACCCAGGCTGGCTGAAAAGGCCAGATGATGTTCTCAGTAAAAGCCACCTGAGTAGGGAAGATTTAGTCCCAAGCTGTAACTGCCAGGAATCTAAATAGAGAGATAATCATCTCAGAGAGGAGCAGCCAACAGTAATTACCGCCCAGTACTCATGTTACAGTTGGGAAACTATGTGCAAGGACCAGATGTGCTAAATTTACTTCTATATGATGAAAAGGCCAGGTCAGATATATGCTGAGTTTTCATGAAGTTCCAGGGTAGAATGCACTATCTGAGCTAATACATAACCCAGTCAATTTTTGGGGCTAAGTACCTAAGCACAGTAAGATCTTTGCTTTGAAGGCCAATTACGGCTTCAATTCCCTGGGTCTTCCTCCTGTGTTCTTGGTGCTGTCTTCTAATGCAAGAGTTAGTGTTTGAGAGTTTAACTGATCCTTGGAAAAGGGCCATGAGCATACTGAATAGCTTGATCTGGGCCCAGTAAAGTGAGACCCTTGTATCAAGGACAACGATCAATTTCAGAATCACCAGACTCTCAAGGTGCTCAAACTATGCCACATGTACCCTCACTCCCTCTCTCCCAAGACACAGTAAACTGTGAGCAAAGAAACAAACCCAAGTGGAATGTACCTGTCTTTGTTTCACTGCTTTGGTACCCTTTTACTGCCCAAAGACAGACAAGGCCCATGGCTTACCAAACCCAGGCAGCCAGCTCTGAATGGCTTCCTGTGGTTTCAAGTCTGCTCCACTTCCCTTACACCTAGGTCTGGAGCTTCCACTGTAAATAGGGTAGCAATGAACAGTACAGCAGTGCAGGCATCCTTTCAACACCCGAGTCACCTCATCTGGCTCCTCTGGGATGCAAGAATACACATCTGGAGCAAAATACATGGCTAGCACAAATGAGGTCTTCTGCCTTATAATTTTTATATTCCTCAGCCAGAGGCAAGCAAATCCATCCTTATACTGTCTGCAGGGGCCCATGTAGAGCAGAGTCTGAAAGCATGAGGTCATCTGCTTCAATTCCAGTATGTGAAATCAATGTTGACATAAAGCAAATATTTCTCTCACTTTTGTTGACTCCTGTTCTAACAGAGGGAAAGTTATCAGAAGTCCCATTAGGCAGAAAATCACCACTGTGAGTTTTAATCTGTGGGCATGATAGGACAAAATATTAATGGAGCCCTTATCACATGGCCCCAGGTAACTGCAGCCATAACACATTCTTAATACACTAGAACAGAGGCTATGGCCCCAGGATACATACCTAGCCCCAAGATAAGCACAAGACCAAAAAAAAATGTGGACAGGTCAAGGCGAGAAACAACTAAATCAAAAACAGACTGAACACACTCTCCCACAGAAAGCATGCTCATGAGCTCTATATACTTCAGTCAGCAAAATGAAGTGACAATATAATGTGTTGAACTACATAAAGTAAGAAGGAGAAAAGAAATTGGGCATCTTCCATTCCACCTTTCTTAACCTTCAAGCACTCACCTGTGTGGCCATGGAGTGGTGAGTGCGGCCGTGGTAGTGTAGGTGACGTGCTAGAGGTCACAATCAAACTCTTACGGTTACTTGTCCGACAACTGCAATGAAAGCACAAATGTTGGTTATCACCGAGCCATACCACAGGCCCACAGACCTTGAATGGCTACAGAGGAACAAAAGAATGACACCATTCCATGGACTGCGTGGTACATTGTTTTCAACTGGGTTAGCAACTACTGTTTGCACCAGTGAAATTTCGTAACTTACTGTGTTCCACCTTGGAATAACTTTTGTCACTGTTTAACTTTTACTTTGTATTTCCACTGCCATTTTGGCTTTTGCAACCCAAGCAAACACAAGGAACTCACTAAGGGTAACAATCATTTCTTAAATGGTATATAATGAAGAATAACTCCTGCAAATTTGAGTTAGAAAACAAAATCACAAGTCATACATATTCTCATATCCCCTAAAAATTAATGTTCTAGCCATAAAAACAAAACTATTAACTTAATCTATGAAATTTATTTGTTTTAAACTGCTTACTCCATGAATTAAGTAATATTCTCATATCACCATACATTTCAAAACAGGCCTGGGTTCCTTCTAAAGATGGTTTACTATTACATGTTAATGCCTGAGGCTTTTTCTTGAGGTTTCTTAGAGTAAACCAGGTCATGATGGAAAGCCATTTCATGCTCCACCTGCTGCTGCTGAAAAGTGTGTAAACATTTATTTGAAAGTCAGCCCATCTTTTAAAGGCATTAGGGAAGCTTGTCACATATATTCATCCAAACAAATATTTACCGAACATCTACTATGCACCAGGCACTGTTCTAGGTGCAGAAGGTCAACAGTGGGGAAGAAGAGAGAAAGTCTCTATTCTCAAACTAGAGTTAATAGTACTATGAGAAAAGATAAAGAGAGAAAGAGAGACTTCCGGCAAGATGGAGGAATAGGTGGACGCACCGTACCTCCTCGCACAACCAAGATTAGAACAACAATAATTTACAGATAGAATATCACTCAGAACTGACAGAGGATTTATCTGAATGGAAGTCGGACAGCCAAGAAGTTGAAGTAGACCCGTACATCCAGACGGGTAGGAGACGACGAGCCAGGCGGGCGCTGGGCTGGCGCGGGTTGGCGGCGCGCGGAGGTTGGGGGAAATTTGGCGCGAAATCGGCGCGACAGCCATCCGGGGTGCAAGAATGATGCAGCGGTGATCCCTAAGTACGCAAGCTGCGGCTGGCGGACCCAGTGAGGCAGCGATTGTGGACCAGGGCAGAGCTCGCAGCCCAGGATCCCAAAGAAGGGTCTGCGCCCAGGAGAACGGAACTACCGCCATTGTTCCCTCCCGCTCCCGCCCCCACATATAACGTCACAATCTAGCGACCGGGGTGCCCAGCCCCAGTGAACACTTAAGGCTCTGCCCCCCACCATAACGAGAGCAAACAGACCGGGGAAAAAAAAAAAAAAAGGAGAGACAGGGAAAGACATAACACATGTTTCCAACAGAACAGATCAGTCTCCCAGGACTCATCCTTTTGAGTGACCAAGAAATAGCCAATCTATCAGATGTACAGTTCAAAACACTGGTGATCAGAAAGCTCATGGAATTGGATGATTTTGGGCGCAATTTAGATGAAAGGATGCAGGTTACCATAAAAGAGATGCAGGAAGATACGCGGAGGAGAGCCAATAGTGAAAGGAAGGAATCTGAGTCTCAAAACAATACAGTGGACCAGAAGGAAGATAGAATCAACCAAGCAGGAAAGCATGATGAAATAAGAATTCAAAAAATTGAGGAACACCTCATCCAGGACACCTTTAAACGTTCCAACATCCAAATTATAGGGGTACCAGAACGGGAAGGAGAAAAGCAACAGATTGAGCACGTATTTGAACAAATAATAAAGGAGAACTTCCCCAATCTGGCAAAGGGAACAGTCTTCCAAGAAATCCAAGAAGCTCAGAGAGCCCCAAAGAAGTTGGACCCAAGAAGAAACACGCCAAGGCACATCATAATTACATTAGCCAAGGTAAAAACGAAGGAGAGAATCCTAGAAGCAGCAAGAGATAAGGGGACAGTAACCTACAAAGGAGTTCCCATCAGACTGTCAGCTGATTTCTCCAAAGAGACCTTACAGGCAAGAAGGGGCTGGAAAGAAATATTCCAAGTCATGAAAGACAAGGACCTACATCCCAGATTACTCTATCCAGCAAAGCTCTCATTTAGAATGGAAGGGAAGATAAAGTGCTTTTCAGATAGGTCAAGTTAAAGGAGTTCATCATCACCAAACCCTTATTTTATGAAATGCTAAAGGGACTTATCTAAGAAAAGAAGATAAAGAAAAGACATGTATAGTAAAAGGACAGCAACAGCAAACTCACAATTATTAACAACCACACCTAAAGCAAAACCAAAAGAAACTAAGTAAACAACTAGAACAGGAACAGAACCACAGAAATGGAGGGCACATGGAGGGCTAGCAGCAGGGGGGTGGGAGGAGGAGAGAGGGGGAAAAGGTATAGAGAATAAGTAGCATAGAATGTAGGTTGAAAATAGATAGGGGGAGGCCAAGAATAGTACAGGAAATGTAGAAGCTAAAGAACTCATAAGTATTACACATGGTCATGAACTAAAGGGGGGGAACATGGGTGGGAGAGGGTGTACAGGGTGGAGGGGAGAGAAGGGGGAAATGGGACAACTGTAATAGCATAATCAATAAAATACATTAAAAAAAAGAGAGAAAGAGAATGTTCAAGAAATAGCAAAGAAGTCAAGTGGGTGGCAGGAGGGGAGAATGACAGGAAAAGAAGTAGGCTATAGAAGCTATGGGGGTGGGCCTCACAGACTCTGTAGGGCTGCACGACTGTCAAAAGAACTATTGGAAATTTGATGAAAAGCCACTGGAAAGACTGAAATCAATTTCAAGAACAAGATTATGATGAGAAATGACAAGTGCCCTTCCCCAAGAAACCACCATAACTAATGTAATCACAAGTACCCCTCATTACCTTGGTCACCATCAAATGTCCAAGACTTCCATTCTCCAATTCAACAGTGTCCCTCAGCTCCTTGAGCTTCAAAGAAAGCTGACACTGTGCCTCCTTGAACTCAGTCTGTCATCAGTAAACTTCTTACATATTCAATCTCTTTTCTCAACACTTTACATTCTAGCTCTAACTGAAACCTGCTGTTCCCCAGGACACCACAGTCCTGGTGAAACCCTTTCTAAACCCAACCTTCCATCTATTTTGCAGCTGTATTTGGGTAGCTGAAGGTGACTGAAGAAAAATTTTAAGTCATGCTGGCTGGTATCTCTTTATGATGATAAACATCAAGTGGGTCTTGTGAACCACACAACATTTACCTCAGCAACAGGCAATGTGCACACATTGCGTGTGTTCTCGCTCTCTCTCCACATCTTGTCCCCAAACCTCCAGCACTCCTTCCCCACATCTCACCCTTACCTGCTGACTTTGCCTTTTATTCAACTGGATGGGGAGGGAGTGGTACATAAAGTAGTACTACATGTTCCTTGACAAAAATCTATTAACCTAAATCTATAGCATACACTCTACTTCCTCATCTATATAAGCAGAATGAAAGCCCATGCTCCTATCAAAGTCAACTCCTCCAATTCCCTATTCAAGAAGTCTGCACCCGCGCTGCCTTCTCTCTCCTATGCTGTGAATGTCCACTTTCTCCTGGATCATTCTCATCATCATAGAAACATGCTGTCATTTCTTCCAGCTTAAAAAAATAAAAGCTTTCACAAACCTCCCCAAAGTTACCCCTTTCTCTTCTCTTCTATTTAGGAAAAATTTTGTGTAGCAGTTCTGTGCTTGTCATCTTCACATCTTCATTTCCTAGTCTCTCTTTAGCTCACTCTAGATAGTCATTCCCATCCTGCCACCAAGACCACTGTTTTCCAGGTCACTGGTGACAACATGCAATTACCAACCCTCATTTTATGTATCCTGTCAATATTGCTTGAAAGTTTTAACTCCCTTTCTAAAAAAAAAAAACAAAAACACCACGAATATAATGTACAGTTAATGACATATACAGATTTTAAGTGTTCTGTTTGATGAGACTTAACTGTATATGTCCACAAAACAACTTACCAAACAAGAGACAGAATAATGCACTACTGCAGAGAGCTCCCACGTGCCCTTTTCCTGCCAACCCCCTGTGCCCTAACCACTCTCTTCTCTCCCAACACGTTCATTTTGTTTTGCTGAATTCCGATAAGTAGAATGATGCACTTTTGTGTGTTTGGATTCTGTTGTTCCATCTAATATCTGTGTAACTCTTCCTGAGATATTTCTTCATTTAGTCTCTAGAACACAATATATTTCCTCCCATCTCACTAGCTGCTCATTTTTCATTCTCCTTTGTTAGTTCCTTCTCTTCCTGACCTCTAAATCATTAAGTACACTAAGGCTCAGATCTGAAATATCTTTTATTCTCTCCCTATACTTATTCCCTAAATGATTTTTCTAATTTCATAGCTTCAATTCTATGATGATGATACTCAGCTTAGTACTGCTGATTCTGTGCTTGCTACTGAATGCAACATTCATACATCCAAATGCCTATTGACATCTCCAACTGGATGTCTAAAAGGCATCTTAAAGAAGCACAGAACTCTTGAATTTCCCTCTAAAACCTGCTACTCCTCCCTAAGTTGTCTCTATCTCATTACATGGCAACACCATTCATCCAGAAGCTCAGCAAAAACCTGTGAGTCATTGTCGGTTCTTCTCTCTTTTTTTCATCCAAAACATCCAACCAACATCCAAAACAACCAGCAAGTTCTGTGGATAATACCTTTAAAATATAGTGGTACCTCTGTATTCATCATTAATTGATTCCAGAACTCGTGACAAGTGCCAAAACTGACAAGTATCAAATAAGGAAGCATTTTCTCTTGCAGGGCAGTGTTATGACCCATACAAGTTCTAGCAAGTGCAATGAGTCTCCAGCAAGTGTTGAGTGCAGAAACATCTTTTTCTCATCAAAATGCAACAGTACAGGGTTTGATGAGTTCTGAAGCCAATGAGTACTGAGGTATGACTGTATATCCTG